TTCTGGTTTGCTTGGTTTTGTTTTGTAACTACGTTAATGCGATATTCAAGCTATAGATTAGAAAGTTTGACAATACTCATTAAACTTTGCTTTACAACTGCTTGCACTTGGGATAAATTCCAATTATGTGTATGTCAACTCATGGCGTATGAGTGTTGGATAATAAGTTATCAGTCAGTCACTAAATAAGTTAATACGGATTTAGTCGAAGACTTAATGTCTTAAATCTGCTTAATATTTCTAGTTTCATTGCATATTCGTTTACATTTTGTATCTATGCTTCTTAGTTATATTACTTAATAATAATAAACGGTTTGAACGATATTCTGTTAGTTGGTGGTCCACTAGGGTTCTTGGAACATATGTGACAGCTCCACAGGATTAAGCTATGTTGTTCAGGTCGAGTAAAAACCTGAACAGTATTTCGTTCTTTTGAAAACCAATGTAAAAATACTTCCTTTCAAGGACTATTTATCATTGTGAATTCAATATCTGGTTAATCTTCTAGATGTACTGCAACAAATCCCTTTTCCAATCCATTTACACACCTATCTAGATGTTTTGTTTGATTGCTTTACTCATCACAGTATTTTTCCTCCAACCATACTTTCAGTTTCATTGAGAACTGTTGGACAATATGGTTATTATTGAGATGTGTAGGCTAATTTATTCTCAATGATTGGTGGTATAGTTTCTTATTAAATCCTTCTCCTGCTTTTAATCTGTAGCAGTGTGGTAGTTTTGTCTGTGATCAGTTATTTAAATAATTTACTTTTTTTAAATTGAACCTTCGACAGAATAACTAACTCTCAGAGACCTAAGTACTTAAGATTCGGAAGTTCCTGATATTTATTTGTTCTCCGTGATCTTACTGTATCTTCAGAAAAATATTATCTTTGGGTTTCTGAATTTTCACACTTTACTAATTGATTGAATAAGAGTCGCTGTAGGAATTACGCAATAATTCTATCTATTATACCCATGTTCTTGAGGAAATGAAGTTCAATTGGTGTTGGAATGCACAACCTTTTGGTTGAAAATTAGATGTGTGTATTACTGAGATACATATGTACAGAAGTACAGCTACAATATTGCGAATAGAAATGTTACTAATATTTACGTGAATGACCCATCTATCAAATGAATAGTGATGAACCCAAGAGTTTTGTCCAACAAACAGATTTAATAAGCGTTACGAGGGGTTTTTAACATCATATTCACTGAATGAGCAACAGACGTTTTGTTATATGACTTCTCAGTGATGCTCACTAATTAGTTCAGTAAGCAAATAAGAAACATTAGAATTACTACCATAAATAATATTTAATGTTGCTACGATGAATTTCTTTCTACAGAATTGCCAACACTAAAAGTCTTTTCAAAAGAACAATGGAAAAATATAATGATACTATTCAATAGATAGGATAACTGTAGATCTAACTATTTCATTTTGTTAACAATGTGGATCGAACGGCTTCTAAATTGTAATAAGATAACATAATCTATAAATATGCAAATTTTGTAATGATCTAAATAAGTGATAAACTTTTTGAGAAAAGCATTGGTTAACAACTTTCTCATACTGTTCATCTATTTGACGTTAGACGATTACAATTGAAAATACGTAAAGTGAATTTTAAATTCGTCGTACCACATACTGAACAAAAATAAACAGAGTTATACTTTATGAGTCAATATTATCTTTTAGCTTTCTATTAACTGTGATAGAAATAAATATGGGTTATACTAGTTTTCTGGGTTTGAAAAAATCAATTCCAAAAAGTTAAGGTAGAAAAGTATACTACTTACGAGTAGCTTACGTTCATTTAGGTGTATTGGGCTCTTGGATTACTAAGGGGATTTTTTTGTATTAGAGATCCATATTTGCTGATGAGTGATAAACAAGAGAAAACTGTTTTTGTTAACTTTTATAATGGGATACTATGTTCATCTTATCACTTCAGAGTTAACAAGGGAACTAAATTTGTATACATATAGGTGGTGAAAAGTAGAGACTTTTGGAAAAGGAGGTGCATAGTAAATTTTGAAAATCCGATTGATACCGGGGTAAAGGAATGTGAGTTTGATTCTATTTGTTTCAACCTAGACAGTACCACCAAAAGCCGCCAAACTAATTAGTGACATTACACAAATTAAAAAGTATTCCTTATTAAATAGAATTCATGAATCAGATCACTTGGAACTGTTTCACAACTGATTCTACACAGATGACTTCCATATGATGAACGAACGGATCACCAGCAGCGTGTGGTTCTATTTCACATATTTACCCAGGGAATAACACAATATTCAAATTATTTCAATTAGTCATTTGCGTTCTTTAAAACAAAGAGAAGTTTCTAAAAATCACTGAAATTTTAAGACTTCGTCAAGATAAAACCAGAATCAAAATATTCGAACGCATACAGGTTTATATTTGAAGAGTAAACAATGTTATGTTATTTAAATTTTATTATTCATCTAATTTACTTGATAAACTCTGCAATGAATCTATACGGTGTCATAGTGTTTTATGTAATTAAAAGCATTTCTTTGGACATCCTATATTGGGGTTCTCTAGCTTTTTAAGACTGATGTCGAGCCAGCTAGTTCATTAGCTGGATTAGAGACTGGTCAATAGGAATTGTTCAGCATCTAGGACTAGGTAAAATAACGTTAATTATCCTTGAAAGTCTAATCCTGTGTATTAGTTTAGGAACATTTTATCGGCAACGTCTTTTTTTACATAGTATAAAATATCGGTTTCTCTAAGGTTGAAGTGAGTGAAGTACTTGATAGCATGGATTTTTCTCGACCGAACTACATCTATGAATATCAGCTATAACAATCAAAAAATGCTTTGAAAAAGTGATCAAATATCCTCGAAGTCACACAACCGATTACAGTTACACAGTTCTAGAGTGAGCTAGTTTAAAATAGTGGGTAAATGCTCTATTTATTTTTAAAATGACGTAAGATCAGAGATCAGCCGGTATGTGACTTTTTACAAAATGAAATGTAACAAAGCGAAAAATCGTCTTACTATATTTCCGTTACAGTATTCGTGTGAATTTTATTTGTATTTTTTAATTATTGTGACGAATCTTGGGACATTCACTTATTTACCTGTGAGAAAATAAACGCATTTTGTTTCTTAAGATGTTGTTAGATGAACTGTCAGGAGTCATCTGATTACTTATGCTTCCAGTAACTTATGTTAATAATAATAATACTTGATTTGCGTCCCTCTCTTTACTTATCAACTGACTGACAGGACTTCAAAGGAATGAGATCAACTAACGCAACCTTAATTACACTATTGCGTTTGTCCAGTTTGACGATATAGACTCAGGAAGTCACTCAATAAAGAGACGTTTTATATCAGAAAACGATGCTCGAGAGCAGGTCCATTTATATGATGCATCATAAACTCATGGTTAGTTTGAATACACTGTCTTTAAATTAGTGAAAATGATTTGACGACCAAGATTTTGATGTCAGTTAAGTCTTATAGATGTATACAAATTAAAATTGTAGTTAAGGCAATCAGATTCACATTTGTGTGCTGAGAACAGAAGGCCTACGTCCTGTGTTAGTTGCTTCCTAGCAAGCTTCTGAGAATGTCTAATCTTCTCTTGAATGAGTCCATTGAAAGGGCGGACACCACTTCTTCGAGTAACAGGTTTCAAGAATTGATTACTTGTTGTGAAAACTTGTATGACTCGGATATTCTGTTCCTTTTTGGCTGCTGTACTCGCCTGCTGTGGTCTTTGAGCTTTTATGATCTGGTAAGAAGAGAGAGGATATATCAAGTCCGAAACTATTTGTTATTATTCCATACATCAAAATTAGATCACTTTTTAATCTGAGGTAGGACATATTAAAGAGATCTATCTTCTTAAGCCGTTTTGTGTGGTAAACCATGGAGTACTGGATTTACATGGGTAGCTGCCCTCTTTGCTTCTTAAAAGATATTCTAGTAACCTTACAGACAGAAGATTACAGCTTAAATGCAGTTTTCGTGTTTGAATCTAACTTGGGTTGTTTATACTGTTGTAAATATATTACTATCGAACTTGGTAAATGTCCATAAGTAACTTCTCTGAACAATCTAATCACTATCGCAGCTGTACTCCTTACAGAAACCCTCATATGCCATCTCATTTAATTTCGAAGAGACCAAGCGAATATTCTACAACTAAACTATTCCATGCATATGAACTGGGCAGTTTTAATACCATACATGTATAACCTTAAGGTTGATTAAGCTTCGTGTTTCCGTTAAGCAGAGAAAGAATATTTATAAGTGATTATTGTTTGGCTTTTGTAAGGTTTACTTATACTTTTTATAGAAACAGGTGTAATGCTACATCCAAAAAGATCACTTTTAATCTAGAGTGACTGCAACTTTGAATGCGATGAATTCCGTAAATGAAGTTTGAAAAACGAATGAATGGAATTATTCCATTGATTCCGCTAGCTATGATTTTAGACATTTCGAATGTTAATTAATAGTACTTACAACTATATCATTATGTGGTCATAACAACTACTTATGATACATCATGGGTCAAATATATGTTCTCATAAAGTTACGCCATTAAAACATTCTAATTTAGGGATCACAACAGAGGTCATAAGTTTAAGGCTTTTAGGAGAAACAGACGCATATGATGAAGCATATGAAATTGAAATGGATGGAGATATTACTGATTGTATTTTTACAATCTAGATTTTTTTCTTTCAAAAGACGAGATGCTTTTGAAAAGTGCTTGTGATTGAGAAAGCAGCAAAAGTAAAAGTGATAAGTGCGGTGATAGAGAATCGGCACACATCGTCGAACAACTTTGGAGCGAGTCACGGAACCAAGGTGACGAATAATCGAAAGTGTTAACTTTCATATTTAAGGTCACAAAAAAAGAAATAAAACAGCATCCATAGTATTGAAAGGTTTTCTTTTTCAGTAGTTTGAAACGCCTGATCAATCATTTAATTGAGGAGTGGATTTCAAATCTTTGGCGGCACATTTGGTTTGACGACAAACGCGCTACCGATGAGGAGGGCCAAAAGAGGAGGCCCGGGCGGACGAAGTCACCCTTGGTTAAACCTCTGCAAAAACAACTCAGAATTAAGAAAGCTGCTACCAGTCTACTTTTCAAACATTGCACACAACCATACTTTGGTGTCTTCGGAATGTAGTGAAAAAAGTGAGAGTGACACGAAATTAAATACAGTGGGCAGTTCATCTCAAAATCAACAAGTACACTTGTCTCTTACTATTTATGATTTTCTAGGGCGCTCTTAAGGAGATTGGTAATAACTCAACTGCCGAGAAGATAAGGAAGAGTAGCTTTACTCAACATAGTTCACTCTTTCACATAGACGAGGATGCTACAACCAAATTACACCAGCTTATAAATTTTTCCTTGATATCTAAGTCTTTGAATCTTAGTCCTATACACTGGAAATCTGTTCCTCAACTTTATGGTATTAAGAACAAACACAATTCCGCTATTTGTGGTGTTGTAATAAAAAGGAAGAGGAATAAGAAAACTCGAGCTACTGTTTCTGAACGTACATCATTGTAAGTTGATCTTGTTTATCATGCACCAATTCTAAGTCCTATGGTTTATCTATGCTATGTGAATCCCCTCTCTAAACATATGGTCATCTCGAATTTTCGTTGTCAAAAGTCACCAAAAAAACACCAAGCTGTATCGGAACCAATTAATGAAATCTTATTCCTTAATTTGTTGTTTACTACATGTTCTGCACATTCTCAAAGGCCGTCTGTTTAACAGTTTTGCTGTCTTGAGTACAGATGTGCCACAACTAGTGTATGTGTGGTAAAAACTTGGAGCTGTTAATGTTGATTTCAAAACTATAGGGTTTCGAGATTGTAAATGACTGTAGCCAGACCCGGCTTAAATTTGATTTACGTGGTACGGTCATCAAATCATAGTCTGCATAGGACCTGACAAACGTCCTAAGCAAAGTTCAACCTAACCTTCAGATAGAAGCATGGGTAGGACTAGTATGATGTAGCTTATCATGTCACACTCAGAGTGGGTATAACACTAGCATCAGTTTCGAGAAGTTTTGTCAAAAGTTCCAGTTTTGTTTGGTATCAGGTTAGTTATGACTTCACTCCGTTATACTATTAGTTAAATCCCAATGTCCCATCCAAGCACAAGTTGGATAGGATTTAAACAAAATTTCACCAAAGACTATCTGTATACCTTCTATCTTTACCGTCTAACCTAGTTGGAAACAATTCAACCTCACGTTAGTGAAACCTTAGATGTTTTGGCTGAACCTTTGGATTTCTTACAACAATGTCACAGAATGTTGGCTGGGCAAACAACTCTCATTTTATGGTTGATTTTATTTTTGAAATGATTCTGATTTCAGGGATAAATGTAAAGAGAGAAAGAAACCTATCAAGTCGGATGAAGCCATCATACAGCCCAAGTTAATCGAAACGCATACTAACACCTCTAAACAGTCTACTGCAGTCAAGAATATCGGTAAGTTCTCACTGTCAGCTTAAAGATGACTCATTCAGTCCTTTCCATAGTTATTTGGGAGGGAGGCTCCAAACTTTTGTTTTTCCATGAAAGTGATTTTGTTAGTGGTCTTATGTCAGTTGTTCATGTTGTTTGTAGTTTAGTTGTTAGATTTCGTCCAAATGACTGGCGTCCATCTACACACTGAACGTTAGGTAGTGTTAAAATATCTCCAGATTATCATCAACTTGTGGAACTCATTCTTGATTGCAGCCGGATTGTACTCTTTCGTAGTATGGACAGAAATAAACAGACCATCACCTTTACCAGTTTCTTCTTGCTTTAACCTTTCTAGTCTAGAAACATAACTGCTAATAGAAATATAGCGGATTATTTTAGTTTAGTGTTTATAGGCCAGTGCATTAGTTTTTTTTCAGATTGCTGGAGATAAAAACAGGTGGTTTTAAAATAAGACCAAGCTAAAATCCTCAATCTAAAATTCTGACCCACTAGACAGTAAAGCAAAGTCAAAGAAGACATTCATACGGTAGCAGGTGAAAAAATTAAGCTCTGACGTCATGCTCCTATGTTACTAAGCCTCTTTTAGTATACTTGGTAAATTCATATGATCTAATTTTCCCTTCCATCTATACATATATAATGCATAACAAGGAGGTTTTTAGTGAGATAAATGAACATTTTTTGGTTATATAACTCAGACTTATAGGCTTTTGCCAGCCTTCTTCATTACCTTTATGAACCAAGGCATTTTTGTGCTGAGCTGACACTAAGTAACAAGATCATTAACTGTTCACAGTTCAGATAAGTCAAATGCTTATCCATGTACAAATCTTAAACATTTTTTTATGTTTCATATATTTCACTATCGTACATATATCCTTTATTTAATACTTTCACATCTCATTCGTTCTTTGTACTTCACGACACCTTGAACTGATGTTCTTTTATGTAAGGATTTGTTTTGTCGTCTGATAGTTTGTGTTTTTTAAAAAGGCGAAACAGTAACTTCTGTTGAATAAGAAGACAAGTTATCCAGAGAATAATAATTTTGATGACATAAATGGGATGCTTTTTGTAATTTGTGCTTTTGTACCTAAGTTTCTGTACTCATGAATTTCATTTATCATATCATCATATTTGGGAACTTTCCTGACATCATAGGTGGCAGGATGACAAAAGCCCGATAAAAGTATCATTTCCTTCAGCTTATAACAAAGCTGGATTATCTGGAAGTTGTGTGTGTAAGTTAAAATTCCAGTTTTATAAATCCTATTTGGATTGTTATGTCTTTTCTAAAATCCCAACAAATATTTTTTATGTTACAGAATCGAAAAATCCAAACCGTCAGTTACCGACTGTAGTTGAAGGTAATGTGTCTGAGGAACTGACATTCTCTTCAGTTGGGAAACGCCAACGACGTCTAACAGCCAGAGCCGCTGAGGCGATAGCACAAGCGAATCTGCGGAAGTCTCGTAAATCTTTATCAGGAAGTTTATGCAGTAAAAGCAAAGTCCTTTCGGATGATGATAAACCAGGACCAGAGAACGAAAACAAAATTGTGGATGGGTTAAAGGCTACTACTGAGGAGACAGCGACTACCATCATCACTCCTAATAAACGATGTAGTCCTCCTGCCATAAGTCCATGCGCTAAAGCTACATTATCTCCTAAAAATGGAAAAGTCGACCTCGGAACAGGAGATGACAAATCTTTGACTGTGATCAGCGAAAATCTATCCCCTCGTATACCTACAGTGATAGGGGAGTGTAATTTCGAACCAGAAAGCTCATGTAATGAAACCCTAATTGTAGCTGATTCATTGCCGCACATAGAAAAAGTTGTGTCACCAAACATTGTACAAAATGAGAGTTTTAGTGAAATCACAACAACTGAAGCTTCTACAGAGGATCAACTTCACGTTTTGGTGACGAGTCCAACTTGCAGCAACGAACCTTTACCTGATATCCACGAATCGGAAAGCCGAAATGAATGTTTAGGTGTTCTTGATGACTTGATTAAGAAAACTTTGACAGTTCTGGAAAGTAATCCAGTTAAGCAGCAGGAGATATATGAGGTCAACGACCCCTACATTCAGTCCTTTCCTGATACCGTAGTGACACAAGAAAACAGGGATCTAACTATGTCGAATGAAGCAATCAACAAAACAACACCTGAAGCTGAAATACCAGTTCAAAATGATCTTACTACTAATATTCAGCTGAAGTTACCTGAAGAAAAAGATGCAGGGGTTTTAGTTGAAACGAACGAAAACTCTGAAGTTAAAGAAATCAAGCACACTGATAAAGCCTCAGATATTAATAATCAAGAGCAAACTGAAATAAATGATGAGTCTGACAAAAATATGGAATCAAATTCATTTGACGATTCTGCAAGTACACCACCAATGAAATCTGATATACAGGTCCCCACTGTGACCAAAATTACCAAATCTAGAGCTCATAAACGTAGTCCATCTCCAACAGATGTACCTATTATTCGGAGTAAACGTCGTCTAAAAGTCAATGTAAGTTAACATTGTGACAAAATTTTATAATTCTGTTCAAGACGTATGTTTAATTATTGGCTTTCAAGTTTATCCTTTAGTATATTTTTATGGCTTTGCACACATTCCAGCATCCTGGAAATTCTTTACTGATTCCATTCAGATATTTCTTGTTCAAATTTATAGTTATATAGCATCAGAAATAACTCGGTGATCATGTATAGATCTTTGTGCTAAACTATGCTTCACATAAAGCTAAAAATTACTTAGATGAACACATCAATTTTGCTCATTTATTTAAACACGTACATGTTACACACGGGACCCAAAGCATATATGTGCAACACAATAAAAAAATGCGATTATGACAAAATAAGGAGAGGAATTTGAGTATAATAAATAAGAAGACACACTAAAAAATTATTGGGGAGATTGATTATGAATATAGTGATCTTGAGTACTGTTAGAGGTGTGAGGGTGGTTATCACTTCCCGGTTGCCCACATCGTGGAAGAGTTCTTCTAGAGGCACCTGAAAAGGAAATTAGGTTAGAGGTGGTCTTAGTGACCTGGCAGCGTGACCGCAGTGCCCAAGTGACAACTGGTTGAGGTCGATCACACACGACATTTCTGTGAGTAGTTTTCTTGTTAGCTGGAGACGGAAGTCCGTGGGATAAGGTGAGGTGTTCATTTTTAGGGTCAACGTTTTCTAACCCCACCACTCCTTGTGGGAAGACAGCATCACTGTTATGCTGGCTGTCTGAAGGGAACACCTTACTGACGTCACATTTCTTTAAAGTCATCAGTACGACTTCAGCTTCGGACCTTAGGCTTACTGCCTTTAATCTTACCGTTCTTCAACCGACCTGTCTGGCATAGTAGGATCTTGAGGAACGATTGTTCCAGCCAGTATAGCTCGATTGGTTCATTACGATAGGTAAGCCTGACCACCACGTCAAGGTCGCAGCAACGGTCGGGCAAAAAATAATGGGAGAAGCATTTAGATCTATAGAAATCCAATGAGGGAGAATTCGCCCAGTTAAATAAGCTCCTCTCACTCATATAAAGGAAGTAAAAAATAACGGCAGGACCGCTACTGGCTTTTATTCGAAGCCGCTACTCCTAGGAATCGAGCCATGGAGTCGTGAAGATCCTGCATATATCAGTCCTGCACGACTTTCATGCTAGAGCACCTTGTGATCAATTAACCACTTTGATTTCTCCAACCAGTTCCAGCGTCGGCAAATAATGCACGATGTGAAATTTTTTGAGATCACACTGGTAGAATATAACCAAACCACTAAAGTCGGTCTTTTAAGATGATGACACTAATTAAATTATCGTCACTTTGCTCGAACCAATGTCTCGAAACATATGTACTACTAAGATGGTGTCGCCACAGAATGTTAGCAATCCTTTTGAGATATATTTGATCAAATACCGCGAGTTGCTTAACATCTTCAACTCGTAGATACAAGGTTTCACAGGCGTACAGCAAGATTGTTCTTATCGACTCGTTGTAAACCCTATTTTTACAGTCAGACTAACATCACAAAGGGGTGAAAGATGGCTCAGATTGGCATAAAGCGCTCTGACCTTTACTAAATGTAGATTGATGGCGTCACTCACGCCACGCTACCCAAGTACACGAACTTCTCGACTACTTCTAACTCCTCACTGCAATTTATTTATTATATTATTTATTTGAACACATATATTGGTACAGGAGTGCGGCAAATATATATGCGTCACACAAAACAATGAGAATTTAGGAAGAAAAAGAAAAAAGGTGAGGAACGTAAAAAAATAACGAAGAGATTGATGTAAGGTAGTGTAATAATAATAGTAATAGTAGGGGAACAGAAGGATACAATCAGAAGAAATCTTTCAGTTAAGGAAAATACAACCACCTTTTATGAAGAAAGTAAAAGAAGGTTACAGCACGATCGCCACTGGCTTCTATTCTGAGCCATATCTGATAACGTCTCTAGCCACTGTGTAGCACCACCTCTCAGACCCCAACCAGGGAGTCGTGAAGGACCAACAAAAGCCAGCCCTTTGCAGCTTTCTTTCATACCACGACACCGTGTCATATACTGACCACCTCTCCGCTTTCTCCAACCAGTCCCAGAGTCGGCAAATAATACACGGCGTGGAATTCTCTAGGACGACATTCGGAGAACATATCCAAGCCACCGAAGTCGGTGTTTCAAGATGGTGACACCAATTGAATTATCGTCTCTGTGCCCGATCACACGATGCCGAACCTCTGCATTACTACTGGCATGGTGTTGCTACTGGATGTCAGCAATCCTTCGGAGACAACGATGATCGAACACAGAGAGTCGTCTAACGTCCTCAACTCGGAGAGACCAGGTTTCACAAGCATAGAGCGAAACTGCTCTCACCGAAGCGTTGTAGATCCGACCTTTTACAGCCAGACTGACATCACGAAAGCGCCACAGATGGCCCAGATCGGCATAAGCTGCTCTGGCTTTCACTATACGTGCATTGATCTCATCACTCACACCCCCACCAGCACTTATGCAGCTACCCAGATACACGAACTTCTCGACTACTTCTATCTGCTCACCATCCAGGGTGAGTATAGGATTAGAATCCTGCCAGTCTTGTAGAAGTACTTTGCATTTCGAAGGTGCAAAGCACATACCATACCTACGGACATTGATTGCCAACTGATCAAGTGCGGGTTGCATGCCGTGGGCATTATCGCACAGTAAGACAGTATCATCCGCATACTCAAGGTCGAGAATTCTTTCTCCAGGCAACAGATCCACACCGCCATTACTTACATTCATCAGAGCTGTTTCCAGAATGTCATCGATGGCAAAGTTGAAGAGGAATGGTGAGATTGGGCAACCCTGCCTAACCCCACTGCCTGAATAGAACAATTGGAGAGGTATTCGTATGCTTCCACTCTGCCTGAGATGTTTGTATATAGGGCTTTCGAGATGTTAATAAACTCCTCAGGCACACCCTTCTTCAATAGACAATCCCAGGGAACAGTGCTGTCCAACGAATCGTAGGAGGCCCTAGTATCAAGAAACACCACGATTGTTGGTCTGTGATAAGTATGGCAGTGTACCAACATTTGGCGAAGGGTGAATATATGATCAGCACATCCTCAGCCAGAACGAAAGCCCGCCTGCTTCATTCGAGTTAATCTTTCTTGGATTTTGAATAATCTACGAAGTATAACAGAAGCCAATAATTTAGGTGCAATCGTAAGTAGAATTAAATCCTGATAGTTGATGCACACATGACTTAAACATTTTTTTAAAATAGGAGAGATTATCGTTTCATTCCGCGATGTTGGAACTCTTTGATTCCCAAGCGTCTGCAAACAGCTCAGTTAGTTCCATGATCAGAAGGTCGCCACCGTCCTTAAAAAGGGTCTGAGATAAGTCGTTTGGACCTAGTGATTTGTGGAGCTTTTGGGGTTGAAGTTCCTCGCCGACTTTCTCCTCGTTGGGTGGATCATTTTTCATCGGTCTACGAACTAATTCTTTCTTCCTGTACTATATCCTTATTTCAATCTTTTTTTATATATTACCACCTCTGAATTAACTACTTTTGTGAATCCGGTGTTCATCTTGTTGTGTTAATGAGATATGACAACTTGGACCGATGCATATATGTGCCTGGTCCTACGTTGTAGCTGACTGACTGGTCGTGTAGGAAAGGACAGTTAGATCGATGTTGCTGGTGCACTAGACCAGTTGAACTGTTCATTGGAGAAGCGTCCATCGCCCAATACACCGATAGATTTTATTTTTGGTATCTCATCAACTTCACAAACTTTCTCACTCACATCAGACTTCTTGCTGCCAGCGGCTCAAGTAGGTTGAAGGAGCTTCCGTCAGTTATCAGATCCAGTGACATGGAACTCAGTCAGTCAGTCAGTCAGCTACAACGTAGGACCAGGCACATATGTGCATCGGTCCAGGTTGCCATACCTCATTAGCACAACAAGATGAACACCGGATTCATAGGAGTGGTTAGGTCAAAGGTTGCAATAAGGATATAGTATAGGAAGGAAGAATTAGTTCGTAGAAAGAAAGATATGAAGTGATTTAATCTCTTAGTTTAAGGGAAGACAGGGAGTGTATACACCGACGCCATTGTGATCGATTCTGAGCCATGTCACCAAGAGTCTCCAACCATTGGTTACGATAGTCACGCGGACCCCAACCAAGTAGTCTGCATCTACCAACATGGCTCAGACTAGAAGTTAGTGACTTCAAGCACTGATGCCACGTTTTGGTTTGGCCGCCCCTAACTTTCAACCAACCCCTACACCGGTTAGCATTGCACGTCGTGGTAATCGGTGTTCAGGCATACGTAATACGTGGCCCAACCATCTCAGTCGATGAAGATTCATAACCTCATTAACTGATTTACCATCATTCCCTAATACCCTGCGTCTAACCTCACTATTACTTACCCGGTGATCCCAGCAGATGCCAGCAATATTTCTAAGGCATCTGTGGTCAAATACTTGTAGCTTACGGGTGTCTTCTACTCTTAAAGGCCATGTTTCGCTGCCGTAAAGTAAGACAGAACGGACTGCCGCGCAGTATACTCGTCCTTTTATTGATAGATGGATATCTCGCCTCCGCCAAAGGTGACGTAAGTTGGCAAAAGCCAAACGAGCTTTTCGAATCCGTGCTGAGATTTCGTCAGACACCAACCCATTAAGGCTGATCAGACTTCCAAGATAAGTGAAGTTGTCGACGCGTTCGACTACTTCACTCCCTATCCTTAGTTCAGGTGTTGACGCAGACCAGTCCTAAAGCAACAACTTGCATTTCGAGGGAGAGAAGCGCATTCCAAACATTCTGGCATTGTTGCTTAGTGCTACCAGAAGACTCTGCATTTTGTCAGCGTCTTCACCAAACAGGACTATATCATCTGCGTATTCTAAGTCGATAAGTGGACCTCCTGGAAGGAGATCAATACCCGAGAATTCAGTCGACGAGAGTGTTATTTCCATCAATAGGTCTATGATGAAGTTAAACAAAAATGGAGAAAGTGGACAGCCTTGACGGACACCACTTGAAGTTGCAAAAGTAGATGACAGTTCGCCATAAGCCCTGACTCGACTAGTAGTGTTCGAGTAAAGAGCCTTCACAAGGTTTATGTACTTCTGGGGTACGCCTTTCAATGACAGACACTGCCACAGAGTCTCGCGGTCTACAGAGTCAAACGCTGCTTTTAAGTCGAGAAAGACCACCATCGTCGGACGCCGATAGGTATGCCTGTGTTCTAGAACCTGACGAATGGTGAATATGTGGTCGATGCAGCCACGACCAGGTCTAAAGCCAGCTTGGTTCTCTCGTGTTTGCAGTTCACGAGTCTTAGTTAGGCGTCTGATAATTATCGAGGCCAGTATTTTAGATACTATGTTTGTTAAACTAATCCCTCTGTGGTTGTCACAGGATGATTTTGACCCTTTCTTATATATTGGGACGATAAGTGATTGCGACCAGTCAGATGGGATAAAGTCTAATTCCCAGATCTTAGCTAAAATATTAGTCAACCTAATCGCTAAAATTGGACCACCATCCTTAAAGACCTCTGGAGCCAATCCATCTGGACCAGCTGCCCTTCCTCGTTTCAGATTAACTATAGCCTTTTGAACTTCAGCAAGAGTTGGGGGACCTACTTCAATGTTCCATTCACATTGTCTGGGAATGGAGGGTAGTTGTAGAGTAGCTGAAGGCCAGCTGAACTGTTCCCTAAAATGTTCCGCCCATCGTTCTAAACGTCTGGACTGGGAGCAGATGAGAGTATCATCTTTTTCCGAAATAATCTCACTTACACTTGACTTATTAATTCCAGTTTCTTTTATTAGTCTGTAAAGCTGTCTTGTGTTCCCTATAGTCGCCGCCTTTTCCATCTCTTTTGCTTTCGTTACCCACCACTGCTCACGGTCGTTCCTTAGACTTTTTCTTAACCTAGATCTGATTTGTTTTCGCTCTTCATCATGTTCAGAACCTGATGGGACGAGTTTGCGAGAATCCATTAGTGTGACAGACCTTGAAGAAGTCCACTGGTTCCTTGCAACTCTGTGGTTTAAGTCACTAATAGATGTCACTGCTGTTTCCACAGCTGATTGTATGCTCTTCCAAGCAACATCTGGGTCAGCCTCGTCTTCACAACTACCTAAGTGTGACCTCAGTTGTTCCTGGAACCTACTTTTGGTTTTCTCGTTACTCAACTCAGTTCTAACGGGTCTTTTTAATGTGGCTTTTTTGCGTCCAGTGAGGCGCAAGCAGATGCGTGCCCGTACTAGGGCATGGTCGGAGTCCAAGCAGGTACTCCAGAATGAGCGACAATCTTCTACCGACCCTCTCCAACGATGACTGATGGCAATATGGTCTATTTGAGTCCATCGTTGGTTTGGTGTAGGGGGTCGCCATGTTAGACGATGTCTCTCCTTATGCTTAAAATTTGTATTTGCTAAAAATAAACGATTGTCTGAGCATAGCTGCAGCAGACGATCACCATTATCTGTTCGCTGTGTCGGAATACTAAAATATCCACCTAAATGCCTTTCTGTTTGGTTTAAACTGCCTATCCGAGCATTAAAATCACCTGCTACGAGTACTATGTCTAAGCGTTTAGCTTTCTGAAGAAGTTCGGACAGCTTTCTGTAAAATTCATCTTTCACTTCATCTGAGCTGCAGTCAGTGGGAGCGTAGACAGAAACGACAAAAAGGCAACGACGTGTGTCCCTATCCTTCCGAGTTCTTACGTAGCCGTTCAGCCGAACAGCACATAGACGACTGTTGACGATTATCGTCATTCAAGTAATCGTTAAATTGACTGGTTTTTGTTCTGTTAGGCATTAATTTTATTTATTTATGTTTCTTAATACCCATTTAATGCTAAAATGTATACTTTTCTTCGAATAGCATCGTTTTCTGGACGATTATGATGGCTACTTAGGCTTCATAAGCGGTGGACGTCGAAGTCGAGCTTCCTCCGAGGTAAGTAATGGTTCTGAAGGGAGTAATAGTCGCAATATGGAACATTCCACGCGACATACACATCCAACATCATGGCATGATAAGAAGAGTTCGAATGATAAAGTGAAGAAAGTCAGTCATAGAAATTTAACTGAAACTTCAACCAAATCATCATCTAAAGGATACAAATCAAATGATAATATGAATAATAAACACGAAGACAAAGGTGGAAACCGACCAGTTACAGGACTCAGACCACGTGTAAAACAAGTCAGCAGACCATCTATTAGTCGTGGTAAGTTTTTTGTTGCAAAATATTCAGTGGGAGATCCTTCATTTTCTTTATAGTTATCGAATAAGAATAAAAATGTATTTCAGAACTTACACATGTGTTCGCATATGAGACTATAAACCGCATCTATTAGTTGATATTTAAGTACTAAAATCAGTAAACCACATTCCTACAAATCGTTTTATATGAACCTTAATTAACTTCATGTGATAAGTATCACCTGGATTTTCTGTGTTTGACTACAAGTGTACTTCAGGTGACAGTAGAAGCCATCTAGAACCCATTCAGTTAACTCACAGTCCGTCTATAGGAATGGTATAAACTTAAAGCTATCGAATTATAAATTACTTTCACAAAAACGACTGGAGTATATGCCTACACTCATCCTTAGCAGGAATCCATTGAAATTACTACATAGGTTTATATAACTGGGTAGTTGTAAGATTATTGTTGTTAGTGTTGAAGATGTGATCAATATTCGTATGCTGAATGTCAGAAAAACTTAAACAAGTCGTTGGAACGTTAGTTTCTCCATAAAAATTGTGTACAGCGATAGGATGCTGACAGTTCTGTTATATCCGTGCGAAACCCGGTTTATTTTAAGTGAGGATGTATCTTACGGTCGGCGGCAACACTATGTATAGTATCGAGGACCAGTAGGTTGTTTTTAGGCATACTGGAAGCCATAGTTCAATAAGTGATGTTGACTTAGAAAACTGTGTATGGTATTCCGAACAAGTTTCATGGATGTCCTATTTAGGTCTTCATTACTGAGCAGTTATTCTGTTTTGCGTTGACTTATGTTGACATAGTGCGGTCTCTTGGTAAAGCTTCTAGAAATCATACAAGTGTAGTTTTGGACATAATCAGAATTGTCGCAAAAAATAAACCAGTAACAAATATATTGCTGCTTTCCATCGTATCATTTGCAAATAGTAATTGTCACAATCCTAATTTTTTAAAATTCCTCACAGTTGATGTTTTTTTGTTTCATAAACAGTTTCATTCTACAGGGTTTACTTTCAGAGACAAAAGCCAACATTTCACACAAGAAATTTCTGCCCGTCCCATAAACTTATTGAGGTCGTTTTGAAGTACTGTCAATAACAACCAATAGAGTCGTGTTTGCAGAAAGGTCATTTAGTTAATTATAGATAATGACAGAACAAAAAGTGGTTCAGGAAAGCAACTAAATTATTTTCGTCTGATTTACCTTTCTTTGAAAGTGAATATTTAAAACGAGATGAGAATTTAAATATGATGCTTTTTAGATGACAGTTTTTGCAAATATTGACCCGTAATACTTTAGACTGCTTTCACATAACATTTTTTCGCCATCGTATAAATTGTGATAGTGCCTCAAATCATATACCATTCGCTTATTCTACACATTTTTATCGTACTTTTTTTTATCATGTGCTTTATGAAGTAATGCATCAGGCCAGTCCGTATAGATTTCTTTCCTGTTTTTCGTCTTTCATTGCCACATTTCTTCTGCATAGTTATGACCTCATATTGTTATCTTTGATGTTAGTGGTAATTAGTGACTCTATTTCCGCTGTGCAATTGTAGAGGACAGTCGTTATTCATCAACTTTATCGGCTATGGTTCACGCTGCGCGCTTGGCTGCCGTTGGCGCCAAGGTTCCCGGAGGTGTTAGTCCTGTGCATGCTGCTTTAGCTGCTTCTGCTGCCCATTCAAATAGGATGAAAGAAAAGCATTCTGCTTCTAAACAAGACGATGCTCATGTAAGTGGTCACGGAGTTGCTCTACAAAATTCATTTCATCCTAGTAGACTCGGGTCTACTAGTCAACATTCGACCCATTTACCGAATCGTTGTGGACAATGCCCAGCATGCTTAGGACTTATTCAACCATGTGGACGTTGCAGTGATTGTCGGTTAGTGAAATGTTGATCATTGATTTACTTGGAAAGCATTTTTATCAGCCTTTTATAATTTATTTTGGACTTTCATTTGTCTCGCTTTCTTTTTTAGCTATATCGAAACACCCGACTCCTTTTAGATCTTATCCGTCACATATAAGCAGTCAGTCAGTCGGTCAGTTAAAACGTAGGACCAAGCACATATATCCATCCGTTCAAGTTGCCACACCTCATTAGCACAGCAAGATGGACACCAAATTCATAGATGCAATTAACTCAATGGTTTATTATATAAAGGAAAGATTGCATACAAGGATATAGTACAGGAATAAAGTTAGTTCATAGAAAGAAAGAAAGTCTCATAGTTTAAGGGAAGACAAAGAGTGTATACACCTACACCATTGTAATCGATTCTGAGCTATGTCAATCAGAGTCTCCAACCATTGGTTACGATAGTCACGTGGACCCCAACCAAGTAGTCTGCATCTACCAACATGGCTCAGACTAGAAGTTGGTGACTTCAAGCAATGATGCCACGTTTTTTCATGACATCTGGCGAGCTATACGTATCATAGTTCTTTGCTGTAATGAGTTTGATAATTCATAGGCGATACTTCCTGAATATTTCTGACTTAAAAATCACGTTTGTGAAGAAGAGCTCTGATAGAAAATCCAAAAGTAATTGTTGAGATCTCTATTTGACTTGGCGGTCTGATTGAACACTTTATAATTGTGGTGATTACTGAATAATTCCGATTTATAGATATAAAAATGTTCATTTTACTGTGTTTCTGTTAGCTAGATTGTTTTCATCACTTGGTGTAATATTTTACTGTGAAATTGCGATCTTTGCAGGTTTTACAAGGTTTATCTCCAGTGTAATCTATATTGTTGTACTTGTAAATAAATGATAAACAGATATCATCTTTACTGGGAAATTTTATTGATGAGCTTTTTCTCTTCTGTACATATCGTTGACACTACTTGTTTGAAGAGTAGTAGTAACGATAGCTTGTCTGATTTCACAGTTTCCATAAACACTTGTGACGTCGGTTTTGTTTTTAATACTTATCTAATTATGAAACTTTCCGTTTTACTTGTTTTGTTTTTCAGCTTAGTTGACAGTAATGATCCACGAGGGAGACCTTGCAAGTAAATCTTGTTTTATATTATATCATGTCTCTAATTGTATTCTATTTTCTATTGGATGTTTGTGACCTGTGTACTGTAATTTAAGTTGGATGTTTGATGCTTTGTGAATACTATCCATTGAGCTACGTTCTAATGTTCCTGTCGTTTGTCGGTTTTAATTTGGAAGTGTACAGAGTGATAATAAACCTTGTACTCTTTGGGGGTTTCATGTTATATTCCACGTAAGAAAGTCAAGGTACTATTAAACGACACAACTAAATGATTACTTCATCATATATTTAGTATCCGTGTTTGCTCCTAAACTGAAGTAGTACGAACCTTTCACTTTTGTAATTTAAATGTTACTAACTATACTTTTACTTTTACAGGGAACTTATATGTCTCAGACGTCGTGTTGCGGCTGCCACTGCTGACCAGAATACGAAAACAGGTCCAAGGGTAAGATTGTCCTTCCCTATTTCTAATCATATGGATTGTTGTTACTTTGTGTTCACTTATCGGGTTTCTATGTTGCTAACCTGTTCTTTATTGTTGAACATCGAATGGGGCTAGTTAACCGGGTTTGCCTAAATATTTCTGAGTTAAGGATTTTGACTGTTCTTTATTTGTTCTCAAGATCATTTTAATTTTAATCCCATAGTTTACATCACATAGTGATTTTAGTTAAACAATGATTTGAAATCAAGTAGAACTAAACACCTGTTTTGTCAAAGTATGAGGCTCTTCAGTACATAACCAAGACCCCGCTAGGGATCGAACTCAGAATCTTCATGTCTCGCAGTGAGCACCTAACCTTTAGATTTAAGACCAAGTATTCAATGGTCTGTGTCTGATTTCGTAAATTTCTCTCATTGTGCATACTACTAACTTTCATTTTTCAGGGAGTTAATCATTGTAAGTTCATTTTTAATTGTTTGCTGGTAACGTGGTTGCTATGTTTGAAGCGATTACGAGGTCACCTAGTCTGCGAACGGAACAAAGACTTGTGACCAAAGACCAATGAGCTAGCTATTCTGATGCGTCCCAGCCCCTCTAACTAGAGAGAAAAGTCCAAGTTCGAACGGGGAAACACATTCCTCAAGCAGCCAGAAGCACGAACAACAAGAACAGGCATAAATCAAACGTATACAGCATAAAACTGTCCTTGGGAAGCGTTACAAAATAGCATACTAAAAGATATAACGAGCCAATAGCGTTTAAGATTCTTCCAAGTGGGAAATACGACATGAAGGATAAAAAAGCGCTTTTGGCGCGAAAACAAAGAAATTCAAATTTTCAAAATAAAATTACAAAATAAGTCATTTACCAAGTGAGTTCTAGAGATCTAACATCCTCAACAATGGTGAGACGATTTTCAGCTCAGACTGATAATTTCGATGGAGTTGGGTGGCATAATCGTAAAGTTTTCATTGTCCTTCTGGACAAAATCATCGGCACAAACTTCAGATAAAAGTGAGGTATTTGGATTTCTCCGTATATGGCTGTTAACTTGTTCCATTGATCTTGAACTTGACTGCTTGGTATCGATCTTTCATTGCAAATTTATTTTTATTGTCTTCCCTTCTAACCTGATTTTCTTGGTAATATCCAGATAAACTGTTACTATTGTGACTCATTGGTTTGGGATTCGATTTCACCCAACAGTTCACGGATTCAAACAGCTCTTCGTGTAATGTAGTTTTGGACATTCAAATTCTACTACCAGTTTTCATGCAATACCGTAATACTTAAACCTGTACTGGGTATCTGAGATAAATAAACTTACAGTATTTTCATCATTCTGTACAATCTTCCTACAATACTTTGTATTAATTCGTAATCAGTTTTTAATGCGAAAGTTGTGGTTCTGTGGATGTGTCAATGATAATCTAGATGCAATATTCCTTGTCTGGTGTCTACTGGTAAATGTGATCGTAAGTCTCTCAAGAGAATTGCTTGTGTATGTTGGATTCACCCAAGATGTGATTTCGCTGTCTGTTGTAAATAATAGTGGTAAATCTGTTGGTGAAATTGTGGTAGTCAGGATATGTGTAACGCTTGCCCAACTATTGATGCTCTATGTGACGATACTGGGGTTAATTTGAGTACATAATAATACTAGTTGATCCTATGTGACACCCCTTGTGATCCACATTTATATTTCAAATAATAAGTTATATGGAAACGATAACTTTTTATATGTACAGAATTTTAGTGTGTCCCAAATTTCTATAAAGCTATTGAGGCACCTACAAAATTATTATTGTCATGAAAATGTATTTTAAAAAAGGATATATTTACCGAAAATATAGCCTACTCTTTTTGATAAAAGGTGTTTTTCTTCTATACTTGTTTGTCCTAAGCGACTTATTATACGATAATGCAATGCGAAGACATGAACTTATTTTACACTTTTTTTTGTCTCTAGGTTAAATTTCCATCAAATTATCCTTCACCTGGTTCAACTTCAAACTTACCTATAAGTGGATATAAAGGTGCTTTATCAATGAATACTGCTAATCATACAAATAATCGATCTAACCTTAATAAATCTGAAGATGAACCAGATGAATCAGTTAGTTTGTTGCAAACTGTACCTGGATTAGCGCAACAGCTTGAATTAGATACATGGTTACCATCTAGTTATTCTCGGAAAACAAATGCCAATGGAATAAATCATTCATATCGTCGTAAGCATAAAAATCCTGTAAACAATTTAAATGTCGGTCCTGAACTTCAAGTAACACCTGTTCGTGGTGGAGATTTAGGAATGCATTTCAGTTCGATTATTGAAGAAAATGATGAAAATGAAGATTTAGATCGTGTCCGTCCAGTTGAAGGGGTAAGGTTGTTTTCATGTATGTAAAGTGATAATTCATGATTTTTACATTCGAACCATCATAGCTAATTTAGAGTTTGTCTGCTACGTCAATCCGTTACAATTAATCACTGTCTTCAGGGACTTAGCTGCTCATACTAGATTGATTTGTCTTCTTTGTTTGTCTTAATTGCCAGTAAGGAGATACACATCTACATTTATGTGGACTAGCGTTTAAGTTTTCTGTATTGTGTATTAGATTTAGTAATATATCATCATAAAGTTTTTGTGAGTACTCAGATAAAATTTACTGTTATAGCTTCGTATAACTCCGTTTTGGCTTCTACAGGAATCAGTTTGATGGTGATATAAATTATCCTCAGAATGCTGGTAGAACTTATTGGTGATTTTTATGACTTGGTTATAATCGGATTCCACTTTTTCGTATCGGTAGATGGTAACACCTAGATTAAAATTTTCATGGCTTATTACCACAAATAGGTTGTTCCTTTATCATGCCACGGTTTTGGTCATAATACGCCGAATCTATGACTGAATATATCGACTTGGATTTCGGTTTATATAGTCGTTGACTTTGATCATTTTATCAGAGTGGTATCTGTTTAGTCGGCTTCCGGAGAACTTCAACGGAGCCTCCAGAGGCCCAAAAGGAGCCGAAGGGACCTAGCCAATCAGAGTATGATGGGACATTCTGGAATTCCAACGTGGCGTGCTACTATTGGTCGGTAGCATAATATGTCGTTAACGGATTGGCTGAAATATGATGTTGATTTAACAGACGCCAACATCTATAAATACCTATGATTTTCTGTACAAAAATGAACATTGGGGTAAAGTATTTTCTCTCATACTTGTGCCTTCTCTCTGGTGTTCAAGTCGCTGTGTAGTTCTAGACTGCGGGTTACCGGAATAGCTTAGGTAATCGTATATAGCGTTTCATCGACAAGACGTATCAGTATCACGTATACAACATAATCCACGGACCTATATGTGGTTATCAACTTTTGCGGTTAAGTTGTGGTTAGTTTTTCAAGAAACCCGTGTTCAATGTTTGAAATGTCTTATCATCCTTCTGGATCTCTCTAGTTCCCTTGACATTTATATAATATATACTTCAGCCCACTCGTTAATGGTTAATCATGTATTTTTAAATGTCATTTTGATGAGTAGTTGGTGTATCTCATGTTTCGGATAGTACTTATTAATTTTCTTGTTTAAATCCACAGCGTCTAAGTCAAGCGGTTTGTAACTGAACAATCCTTTCCCTTATTGAATAAAAATATCTCTTATTTTACGCAAATCAGTTTATATACTTAAATAATAAGATAGAAGGTTCTATATTTGTACTATCACCCAACCAATGTTGTCGTATGCTATTATTTATCTTAAAAAAGTTTCAGAAAGTTAAGAGGATTAATTTTCATTTATTTACTTATTCCCGTTATAGGAAGTAATTGATAGTGACTTAGCAACACAAGGAGGTTACGCAATTGTAACAACATTGGCAGCTGCTCCACCTAAAGAAATCTGTTACGCATGTGGTAGTGGTGGAGGTCAGGTCAGTTAAAGAAAACTCGTCTATTGTGCCTTAATTTGTTAGTTTATATTGTAATCCAGTTTTTTGTAATCGAATATTCTTACAATGTTTTTATTTCTCTACTTATTGTTCAGTTCAGCTTATCGGTCTGCTGATTTCATTAGATGTACATTTCCGTTCTCCTCATTAGCGCGTTCAGAAATTTTAGTTTATTTAAATTCATAAAGGGAACCAATTGCATGAAATATCTGTTTATACTCTGTTAGATAACACTGTTCATTACTACTGACTACTCTAAATATTTAGACTCAGTAGGCGAGGATGACCATTCAAGGGTTGGTGTCTTTATCTTTAGAGTCACATTTTACATTCCATTTTCCTACTAACACTGCCCACTTAAATATGCAAAATAACATCGAATATAAGAATAAGTTAAAAGAAGACTGAGAGCGGCCAAACTAAGACCTTGAATCAGTAAATCTCATGGACTGATTGTTGAGGTTCATGAAATAATCCTCATATATAGATCAAGACATCAGGTGATGATATGGCTCAGATTTGTTTAGTCACCGTAACATGAATGTATTCATTACTTATTTTACAATAGATCTTGGATTTTATTATCATTACATTTTACGCCTCGATTTCAGTCTTTTTCTTTCTTGAATTATGTTGTTTATGTTTAATTTCTTACTGTCCTTGATATTACTACTATATTGATTTCTTTTTTATTGTCGTTAATTTCCTCTTATTGAGCCAATATGATGCATGATAACTTGACCCGATGTAAATTTGACCCCCAAGACCTTCGTTTATGACTGGTAGACCGATAGGGGATTAGTGGAGTCCCATACCAGGACGAAACGGCCGTCCAGTGCTTCCAGGTTTTCCATGGTGGTCTAGCTTCAATTGACTCATGATTTCAACCAGTGAGATTAGTGGAGCATCTATTTATGCTTTTAGTATTATTTGTTTAAAACAACATCCGTTTTACATGTTTTACTTTTATCACTCGTGCGGATCATACGTTTTCTATGACAACACATATTGTAGGTGATTTATTCATCCAATGATTAAAGTATTTTAGCTACCTAACTTATTACTTCGATGATTTGACGGTTTTATCTCCATGTCACATATCATTGTGTCACGTAGCTAATATATACAAAAATCACAAACATCAAGCATTTTGTGTAAAGGATGTAGGGCCTTACTCATAACCGTATGCATATCTTGATTCCACAGTCATCATATTTTATGAATGTGGTTGATATTTGTACACATCTTAAATGTACACACACAATCGTTACCCTTCGATGAATTAAAAAATTCTCCAGTCTATATCGAATTTCTCTGTGTGTGAGTTATCTGACGCTAGATAAAGAAAAACTTCAGCTATTTCAGTATATTATTTACGGTACTTAAGAATATTCATTCTCTAAATCAAGCTAGACCAACAGTATGACATTTAATCATGTATCGCATTTCAAATACGCAAGTTTATTGTCATCGTTTAACATGTTTTAGCTCAACTGATTACAGATCGTTTTTTCCTTTTTTTCGGATTGATTAATAACATAGTCTATGATATATTTATTTGTATTCCCTTTTTTAGTTACTGTTTTGTGTATCCTGTGCTGAACCTTTCCATTTCTACTGCGTTGAACGACAATTCAGACCTCGTAGGAAAGAACATTTTGTATGTCGAAATTGCACCACATGTAAAGTCTGTCGTCGTCCAGCTTCAGATCTACGTTGTATACGTTGTTCTACCGGCTATCATCCAGAATGTTTAGCTGATTTTCCACCAGCTAAAACTAGTCAAAGAGGATGTTGGGTAGGGTTAACTATTTTCAGAAAGTCTATTTTTTAAAACATTTTTGTTTAAAATATTGAGACATTAGTATTTACTTCATAATATATTTTTATCACCATTGTTATATCATATTTAAATGTATTTTAATTAACCTTTAATGCACAAATGATGTGGTTGTGTTCCATGAAGTTGTTTACAAAACACTATCCTTACAATATGTTCATTGAAAACTGAGAGTCTAACATTAAAAAATGATGACCTAGAATCAGTCTCCTAGCCCGGTTAAACGATAATCTTTTAACTAGTCGTTAATGTGTACGGAATAATTTTATTAATTATTACTGAAATCACCTACTCTCAAACATTTCTGTCCGTTAACCAGTAACTCATATATTTATTGCGAAATAGCGTTCCTTATTTGAAGTTTGTTGGTAAGACAAACGTTGACCGCAATTATGTAACCACTGTTATATTTGAATAGTAGTTTACGCATGATGAGAAGCACTGAATAATAAACAATTAACGTTTATTTGGGTTTAATTTTTACTTAAATTATTTGGACACTATGACGTAAATGAAGTTGATAAATAGAAGAATTCTTACAGTAGTGTTGTACTTTAAAGACACGAATTACATAACAACAAATTGCCCCAAAATAACTCGGAATATCTGAAATCTCATATTTAAAAGTCTACTTTTGTATTTTCAGGAAAACCAGTAGAAGTGCTACATGTCTGCTTTCACTCTCTGCCTCTTCCTTTAGGACTCGAGTTCCGAAGTCTCCTCATGCGTTCTTCCCAGTTTTTCTGTGCTTAATCTTTCCTAGTACTACTGATAATACTACTACTGAGACTTGTATTGAAATAATTTTCAAACTAAGAAATCAGTGTATTATATTACTGCCGCTTTTGATTAGTTAGTTGCCTCAAGTGTAATTATAATTTTGTAATCATTTATTATTGTATGAGACAAGTTTATTGTTACACTTTAAAGTTGTTAATAAATACTAGTAACAAATTATTCGCTAACTGTTTCATTGATAGGAACATTCTGTTATCTTTACAATTTATTCATAGTCTATAAATCGTCTTGTGGATAGTACTGATTCAATTTACAGAAAATCTGGTACAAGTGACCACTAAAAATAGAATGCTGTATACAAAATAAAATTTATATATGGACTGCGATACTGTCCAGAAAATCAAAGGAATACAGATGGTTTTCTTGGTTGGTTGCTCTCCGAGCCTTTGACTTGAAGGTTTAGTTCAAATGGTAGTGGAGCAGCGTCAGGAGCTGCCGTTCCACGGTACCGGGTGACCAAAAATAGGTTCCCTCATGGTCTTGGAGGCCATAAAGACCATTGGTTTAAAATCACAGTTTTCCAACTAACCCGTTCTTATTGCCGGACGACTAGTTTTCGTTCTTGCTTTTAAAACAAGATACTCATATAAATTTAAGAGTTAGTGAGTGTACAAAATGTCACCTATTATTTTTTATCCTATAAAGATATGAAACTTATTTACACATGTAAATAAATAATATATTTGTAATATCCCACTGAGTAGAAGAATTAGATTTTCTGACGTTTCGTGACTTAGTGTAAGCTACTTCCTCAGAGAACGAATAACCAAATTGGGTGGATTTCAATTCGGTTATTTATTCTCTGAAGAAGTGGCTTACACTAAGTCACGAAACGTCAAAAAATCTAATTTTTCTACTCATTGGGATATTACAAATATATTATTTATTTATAACAATCGAGCCAATGCTCAATTTATTCGAAATTATCAAATAAAACCTTGGTAATGATACCAACTTATTTACACATGATTATTTCCCACATTTTTGTGGTTGTTCTTGTTCATTTCGAAAAAAAGTGTCATAAATTTATCTTTTATTTTCATGGTAACTTAGACTTGTCCTGAGTGTTCAGTATGTTTACATTGTGGAGTTAAAGCTTGTAAACCAGCTGAGACTAGTGATGGTACTACACCTATTTCAACGGTTCGTGGAAGTTATACAGCCTGGTCATATGAAACAAATAAATGTGCTGCATGTAGTCAGGCAGAATCTAAAGGCGATGTTTGTCCAGAATGTGATCGAGCTTATTTACCAACCACTAAACAAATGATCCAGTGTGATAGTTGCCAACTTTGGATGCATAGAACATGTACAAAATTAACTGGTATGATGTTTTCTTTAAAGCCTTTCTTTTAATTTTGTATATAAGCTATTGATTTGATTGTAGTTTCTATTCTCAACTATGTTTAAATCAGTTTTGTCAGTAGACTTAATCAGTTAGTTTAGGCTAAGATGGTTTAAAATTGTGTCGGAAACTTGGTAGTATCACTAGCCTTCTCATTTCGAGCGTGGAGCACATCCAAGTATGCTATTCTGTGCATGGTTGATAAGTTAATTATAATAACAAATGTATCAAGGAAGAATGAGTATTGAGTGATGAAAATTTATGGGGTTGATTTGTAGTAAATAAGTTTTAATGCGCACTTGGTGGCTGTTTAATTTCATATTTAGCTCAGTAATTGGAACACTTGGTTTAGGTTAAAGTTTCCAACATGATTGGATTTTTTGAAATAAGTAACTCATTCCCCAGGTAAAGGTTTACGTACACTGGACTTTGAATCCTATTTTTGTTCTCGTGTAATAAATGGTACTGATACTTGACTGTTTGAAGCAAAGTAGTTAAAGCGTTCTTTGCTCTCTTACTCGTAATCTACTACTTAAACCACCACTACTTCTAACTCTTTGTCCGCAACCTACATGTTTTCTGACAGTTATGGTACGCAGTTCTATCTTAGCATACCTGGTTGATAGTGATCATATGTTGGATAAAACCAAATAATTTTAGGTGATTTATCGTATATTTTCGTTGTTTCCTTGTGGGTTCGATCCCGTTTCCTACATGTAGCAGGAGCTATAGGGATCCGAGCCGATAATCATATTTTATGTGTTCAGAAGTAATTCATAACACATCTTGTCCCCTCCCGTGGTCAGATATGACTTGGTGAGTGGTTTTAGTAATTTTTTCCCTTTCCCTATTTGTTTGTAATTCTTCACCTCTTTCCGTTTATATCCTTCGCTATCTAATTACTTACACACTTATTACGTAAGTTTAACGATTTTTTGTGGTTACTATTTTAAAGTCTATTTATCCAAGTTTGACCTACTTCACTTGTTGAATTATCGACTAAAACTTTTATTATTTTTATCACTACTACTAATACACCTTTCTTCTTACTATCAATTTGTAATTTTTACAGATTATGTCTAGTTACACATTCTATTCCACCATAAATTGCCTTAATTTTATATTTTCTTATACCTGTTTAAATACTCATATATATTAAAGTAAAACCTGATGACGTTCTAATTAAAGACAGTATTGTCCGCTTATATATGTCATTCTTATTTTGGTTGTGTTGGGGGTCAACTGTGAAACTTTCATTGTTGTTCTGGGCAGCGTCTGCACGTATTTCATGCTGAAGTATGTTGTTTTATTAATCTGAATATCCGAATCCAGCCTATTCTGTTTACCTCCCTCTGTGTGTAATTATTTTTGGAGGTTTTATCAACTTTGCTTGCCTTTATATTCTTGTTGAAAGTTTTGTTCTGTTGACCTTCTCATACATGATTGGTTAGTAAGTATGTTCTATGTTGATATGCTTACTGATTGTAGATCGACCTGAGTTTCATATTCGCAGAACGTTTTTGGAAAACATTGAATTTCCTTGATCTAGAACTTTGGTGTTTCCCAAATCTAACTCGTGCCTTTAACTGTCTGAGTGTACTGATGTTAGTGATAAGCTGTTCTACTGTTAGTCTGTTTGTACATACGTAGATAGAGAACAGAGTCCACTTTGTCTAACATAATGTTTATCATAGTCGGTACAGTTTCTTTTGTAGATAATATTGGGTTTATCTTTGTATATGAATAAAATTTAATAGTGTTTCTGTTCTCTTATACATGACTAATCCCAAAGACTTTAAAAATCATTTTAATAGTTTCTGATATATTTCTCACATGTAGAACGATTGGGTTTTGTTTTCTGGTTTCCGAGGATGATTTTATCCTGGTGTATTGACTTTCTGTTATTTATTCAACTTTTACATTTTATTTTCAAGTTTCAACATTGATAACCATGATTTTAATTGTTTTTAATATTTTTCTTAAAAAATCAAACCAACATCCTTTTTTATCTTTTTCATAGTTGATGAATATGAATTAATTGCAAGAATGTCAGCTGGGCAATTGAGTAAATTTGTTGTTTCTTGTTCCGTTTGTCAAAGAGAACAAAAATCTCAACAAAAAAAATCAAACGCCTCTCGTAGTAACAATAACAATAATAATACTTCATCCAAACAACAATTAGATTTTACAGATCAAACTGCATCGGATGATGAAAGTGAATTCAGCGATGAAAATAAAGAAACAGAAGATGCATCAATGAGAAGTCGGAGTAAGCATTCAAATATTAACAACAGAAATAATAATAATGATCGTAATAATGGTGCAAATCAACTACGAATTTTAGCACATGATACATTAATGGAAAGAATGTCTGGCTTAGTGCAAGTTTGTCGTAAATCTAGTCGAATTGATAATCAAACTGTCACTAGTAGTGGTGGTGGTCCTGGTGATGGTTCATCAATGAACTCACCATCATCAACTTACTTTCATAGTCCAACTAATACAATGGCTAGTTCTAGTGGTAAATCACCTGGTTATTGGAGTAATACCAATTATAAAGATGAATCAACTACAGTAAAACAATACCTACCTCAGGTAAAGTGTCTCAGTCATAATATTACCATTACTACTACTCAAGTTGTTATTAATATTATTGTGTTTTTAAAAGTATGGTTACTTTCCTTTGCCTACTACCATAAACTGGGAAACAGAGAAAGAAATTAAAGGGGAATTTCTTAAAGTTTGATAGCTGGGAAAGTGATCTTACTTCGGAGTATTATTTTTATCTTCAAAAAATAAGTGTATAGTTTACATCTACTGAATAAATGCTTGTAAGTAGTTAGTTATTTAACATATAGTCTGACATAAATGTTCTTATCTTCATGGAGAAGTGTAATAACAACAATTTAAACAGAAAATAATATAAATTGCTTTTTATTTCATCTAAAATTTCTCATCTGTTTATTATCATCTAGTCTATCTTCAAATCAAAATTACAAATATAATTTAACTTATAAGAATGAAGTTAATCAATGGCTAATATCATTGCTTAGCAGTATAGCAGTCTGATAAGGATTCAATTAAAGTTTAAAAGACTGAGTAAAATGTTACAAGTAAATGAAGTATTCAAAAGAAACTCCTGTAACATTGAAATGGTGATAATACCAAGTGATTATCTGACTGAGATTAATTCATTTCTGATCTGAAATATCTAAACGTGACTTAATATTACTTCAAAACAATATAAGTCAATTAATTAATAACAAAGTAAGGAAGATGGGGATGCGAATAAGGAATTGAAAAAATATGGTCTGATGAAATAAGGATTATGTTAATTCGTTTAAGGAAAACCTTTATTCCTTTTTAACAAATATTCATGCATAACTTAAGGTAGGCCTTCCTTTCTATTTCATTCATGTAACCATTATGACTTCACCGGCAATTTTGATTTTAATAAAATAAAACAGCTTATGAGAAGTTCATAACAAAATTCTAACAGAATAAAATTAAATCGTCATGCTATTCTATCTAAATTATTGTTCCCTTACTCTTAGGAATTATCTATTTTACTTGACTATAAGTTTGACTTATTACTTAGTTTGTGACTTTTTCTTTCAAAAATAATGTCAAAATATAAGTAATTCAAGTGATTGTTTTCAAATAGCTGTTATTATATATCTTTGGTCATATAAATCAGTTGTTGGAAATTGGTCTGTAGATTTTATTTATTTAACCATATAAACATTGGTACAAAGCGTGGCCAAAATATATATGCGCCACATAAAATTTGTCTGAGGGCTAGGATACTGTTTTTTTGCCCAAACCGATGCAGGTGGTTTTCTTAGGAGGCTACTCCTCGAATATTTGACCTAGAGATTCAATCCACAAGTCATTAGAGCAACGTTTGCAGATAAGATCCGTGGTACCCGGTGACCAACAATTGGTTCATATGCCATTTGTTCCCTCAGGATACTGGAACCCATGTGCACTATCTGGTTTGGAATCCAGTTGAAGAGCCGGACATTCGCTTTTCGTCCTCTCATTTTCGTAAACAACACCCCCGCCACGAGAAGGCAGTGAGTAGAACTTCCGTGACAGGTTGTATACACGTGGCCGTGTGAGGACATTTCTATAGGGACGGCGGATCTCGACTATGCTGAGTCGTTGTCCCCAAATGCCCTGGTATGGCAGAGAGTGGGGAAGATTCGCCCTCCCTGTCGAAATGCTCTCATGCGGCCACGCGTATACAACCTGTCACGGAAGTTCTACTCACTGCCTTCTCGTGGCGGGGGTGTTGTTTACAAAAATGAGAGGACGAAAAGCGAATGTCCGGCTCTTCAACTGGATTCCAAACCAGATAGTGCACATGGGTTCCAGTATCCTGAGAGAACAAATGGCGTATGAACCGATCGTTGGTCACCAGCTACCATGGAACTGCATCTCCTCACGATGCTCCACTGCCTTGTGGATCAGACTTTTAGGTCAAAGGCTCGGGTGTGGCCCTCTAAGAAAACCACCTGCTTCGGTCTGGGCACCCGGGCAGTATCACAGCCCACACACAGCATGAAATTTGTGTTGCGCATATATATTTGGTGCCCCATGTACCAATATTTATGTGTTCAAACAAAAAAAATAAAAAAAGTACCAGGTCGTTTGGGGGCTATAGATAAGTTAAATTTAACTTTTATAAATTGAAATTCATTCTCTTTCTAAACCTTTTTTAAAATATGTCTGCAGTATGATGGAGTGTGTGATTCCGACTCTGGAGATGAATTAACTGCTGCAGTTGAAGCTGCGGCTTCTTTATGGGATCCGGCTGTGGTAGAACATGCTAAATTCAATACTGTTTCTGTTAATCCTATGTCTATCTCCCCAGATAATATCACAAACGATCCAATACATCATCATCCTGATAAATTGTCGTGTGAAACCGTCAATAATACGGCTGATATTTCTTTAGATCCAGTTAGTAATGGTAGTAGCTCGTTATCTTATTCATCATCACAACAATGTTTACAAATTGATTCTTCTTACAAAACATCAAATATGATGGATCCCATCAGAAATACATGTAATCATACTGTTTCACCAAATGAGACACTTATTTTACAAAACCAACAATTACCACTTACTATTAATACATCATCTTTACTTAAAACTGAACCTAGTAGTTCAGTACAATCTAGTTTATTTCATGAATTCACAGTACATGATAACAATCCTAATCAGAACAATCGTAGACGTTATAGTTCATCTAGCTCATCGAATTCACGTTATTACCATCAAATTTGTTCAACTCCACCACCAATCAATGCACAATGGCTTGTTGATCAGGAATCAGAGCAAATTTGGACAAGTCCGGTATGTCTTGTTAATCACTTATTTTATTTTCTCAATGTTAATATAGCCTGTCAGCAACAACGTAGAACTTCGTACATACGTACATCAGTCCGAGTTGCCATATCACATTAGTACAAAGATGCCGTTGTCGATTCGAATCCCGTAACGGTAGAGGTAGTAAGATTATAAGCAATAATCGGGACGATTAGGGTTTAAAGAGGTCATTCAAGGAGTATAATCCAGTGAAATGAATTTGGAAAGAGAAAAAAAAGAAAGGGAAATGAAGAATTCAGAAAATTAGAATTTGGGAGAACACAAAGAGTGGATGCACTTGGACCATTGCAAACGATTTTGAGCCATGTCATTCAGGATCTCTAACCATCGGTTGCTGTCCTCTCGCGGATCCCAATCAGGTAGTCTACGCCTACCAACATGACTCAGTCCACTTGTCAGTGACTTCATGAATCTAGGCCATGTTTTGGTCTGGCCGCCCTTAACTTTCTCCTAATCTACTCCTGCACCATAATATAAAAATGATCCTTTAAGTGTTACATTTGATATACACTTTAATATGCACAACATATTACATATTTTATGATTACTTAAAGGAAAATATTTGTCGTCTTTACTTGAAAACATAACGTTATTGCATGGGACTCTGTACATTGAAAGTATACGAATTTCAGGAACCGAATAATTTGATAACCTTTTTATAAAAGACTTTTAATTATCCTATTCTTTCTAAAAGGGGAGTACTATGTAAAACTCAAAATTTACTTTCTAATATGTATTAAGTGTTGATTCATTGAAATTTAATTCCTGCTAGCACCCTAAATTTCCAATAAAGTTGTTATGGTATCTTGTTCTTATGCTTAGTCGACAAATTTCATATTGAATTAAATCTATGCTTCAAAAAGAGATCATGTTAAAGTACTTTAGATCTATGATCTTTACGAAAACTTGTGTAGGAATGATCAGAAGATTGATAAATAAATTATGAACTGTAAAATGAGGTCTAATAATGTGCCTTTATTTCATATACCTATCGTTGCTGTTACCTTGACGTGGTGGTCAGGCTTACCTATCGTAATGAACTAATCGAGCTATACTGGCTGGAACAATCGTTCCTCAAGATCCTACTATGCCAGACAGGTCGGTTGAAGAACGGTAAGACTAGAGGCAGTAAACCCAAGGTCCTAGAGTGAAGTCGTACTGATGACTTTAAAGAAATGTGACGTCAGTAAGGTGTTTCCTTCAGACAGCCAGCAAACAGTGATGCTGTCTTCCCACAAGGAGTGGTGGGGTTAGAAAAGGTCTACCCTGAAAATGAACACCTCACGTTATCCTACGGATATCGGTCTCCGACGGTAAGGTTACAGTCAGTCAGCTACAACGTAGGACCAGGCACATATGTGCATCAGTCCAGGTTGCCATACCGCATCAGCACACAAGATGAACACCGGATTCATAGCAGTGGTTAGGTCAAAGGTGGCAATATATAAGAGAATGATTACATATAGAGATATAGTACAAGAAGAAAAAATTGGTTCGTAGAAAGAAAGGTATGAAGCGATTTTAATCTCTTAGTTTGAGGGAAGACAGGGTTACAACAAGTACGGAGCTAACACGAAAACTACTCAAGGAAATGTGTGTGACCGGCCTCAACCAGTTGTTACTTGGGCACTGCAGTTACGCTGTCAGGTCACTAAGACCACCTCTAATCTAATTTCCTTTTCAGGTACCTCTAGAAGAACCGCGAAGTTATGACCACCATCATACTTCTAACAGTACTGAAAATCGCTGTATTCATAATCAACTCTACTCTTATTTCTCTTACCTTGACTATCAACTCTAAACTTCTTCTTTTGACTTTCTCTTCAAGCTTACCTATGTCCAACGAGTTTAGTGCGCGAAATGCTGTTCTAATTATACTGAAGCCTCGCTCTAAACTACTGATTGGAGCCTTCAATGTAAGTACTCTATGTCAAATCGGCCAACAGGCCTCCATGACTAAGACCTTAGAATCTCGCGCAATTGATGTTGAGTTGATGATGTTAGACGTAGGGTAATAGGGAACGACGGTAAATCAGTTGATGAGGTTGTGAATCTACATCGACTGAGGTGGTTGGGCCACGATGTATTACGCATGTCCAACCACCGACTATCACGATACTCAATTCTGACTAGTGTTGGATACGGATCTAAGAAAGTTAGACTCGGCCAAAACAAAACATGGCATCAGTCCATAAAGTCACTAACTTCTTGTCTGAGCCATACTGGTAGATGCAGACTACTTGGTTGGGGTCCGCGTGACTATCATAACCAATGGTTGGAGATTCTGATTGACATGGCTCAGAATCGACCACAATGGTGTAGGTGTATGCACTCTCTGTCTTCCCTTAAACCATGAGACTACTTTATACTTTCCTTTCTACAAACTAAGTCTTTCTCCCTGTACCATATCCTTATATGCAATCCCTTTTTGCTACCGTTAAAGTAACTAGTTCTATGAATTTGGTGTTCATCTTGTTATTCTAATGAGGTATAGGAACTTGGACCGATGCATATGTATGTCTGGTCCTACATTGTATCCGACTGACTTTATTTCATAAAGTAATTGACCGTTTGTTGTGTTTTATGTTAGTGATTATAAATGAAATGTTGGGCTGATCTACCGTTTTCATTAGTCCCATTAATAATAATTGTGCATATTAGCATATTTTGTCTTCTTATGCCCGGTTTATGTTATTGCTTTAAATTCGTACAGCGCTCAATACTTTATCGCTTACTTACGAGAATTCTCCATCGTCTGTCCGCTCATCCAGTCAGTTCACCGGCAGCCATCGGATTAAGGAGACTTCTTCGTTGGCTTTCTACAATGACAGACACTCTTTTTCCATGGCTTAATATAAATGAAATGGCTAGTGATGGTAGGTTAATAGTTTCTTCTTTGGTGTTTTTTTAGCAATATTTTTGAAGATGATGTGGGAATAGTTCTATCTAGTCACTATAATTCACTTGAAAGTGTTTCTTTTCCAAGTATACAAACAAATCTATGTGAGGACATTAATTCTTTTCATAAATTGTTAGCTTTAATTCACTGTAACACTATATATGACTATGGGACGTTTTTGATATTCACTTGACTTTTTAACTTATATTCATCTATTAAACCATGCCTATACTAATAATGATAATAAATTTATCTTTCTACTTATGTAATCTATGCGAAGCGTTAGTGTTATTTAAAAGCTGTTTGAAAATGTCAGTTCAATTTTTTTGCATTGTGTTGTTTGTTTGTGTTCGATAATTGTTGTACTTATCTTGTGAAACTTCTATTAATTTGCTTCCTCATGGCACAAAAAAATTCTTCATACTACTAAGCACTGAGAAGTTCACCACACAAAGACAAATAACGATAATATAGCAGAATGGAAGAGAAGAGAGGAGCTGTAATTATGAATACGATACGATAGGGCATCATAAAAAGTTTAAGTATGTAATTATGATAACTTTTGTTCAGTCTGGAGATACATCAACTAGTTTATGAATATTGGTATAGAAAACTGGGGCTGGATTAGTGGTAGCGTATATTAACATTTAAATCATTGTTGCTAGGATTATCAATAAAATAATTCTATTAATATAGTTCTTTAAAGTGTTCAAATAAATATTATACTCCTGGCTAAGTTAGTGTCCCTTTATGTTTAAGGAAGTCGCTATTAAGGTGTAGCTTAGTAATTAAAACATTCGATTTTCCATCAGTCGATCTCAATTTTAAATTCCTCTCCATTGTCAGTTTGAGCTACCAAATTGTATCGCTAGTTCTTGTAAACAGTACGACACTAAACATGACGTAAGTGAACTTGTGATTGGTAGATCAGTCATGTTTTGATACAATAAGACATCAGAGGTAATCTAAATTTGATAATTTTTTTGTTATTCCTCCACATAAATAATACCTGAAGTATATTTTAAGGCATTAACATATATTCATTTATTTACTTTTTTTATAAATGATATCAAAACATTATTTAAAGCGAACTAATGAGAATCGATTACTTATGCATTTCTTTCTAGTTCGTGATATTCTACGCCAATCTAATGGGAAATTTAGCGATGTTGCTAAACATTTTCAAGAACGTTCTTTAATTGAACTTCATGAATTAGTGTGCCCAGTTATTGCTCGTTTAAATGAAAACTATTCACGTATTCGAAATCCTTCATCTGGTGAAACAGTTAATAATGTAAATTCTGTTTCAACATGTTATTTACACGTGCTTGAACACCTGAAAGAGTATCATCCAAAATACCAATTGTATGAATCACCAGAAATAGATCCTTTACAATTTACTAAACAATTCTTACTTTCATGCAAACGTTCTCGTTGTCAACGTCCACATGAAATGGAAATGCTTGAACAAATGAAACAAAGTGCCCGTGATGATCGATGGGTTGAACATTGGTCTTCAATTGAAGAAGAATGTTAGTCTTCTGTTTTTTTTAAATTGTTTTCGCTCATATTAAACTAATCATAAAAATAGATTTATATTAGCAGGATTGTGTAGTAGATTAGTCTTTCTGAATTTAGCGAATTGATAAATTGTTCATGGAACTGAACTCTTATTTTCAACAGAATAAGTATACCTATTAATCAACCGGTGTTGTATAGTAATAATAATAATAATAATAATAATAATAATAATAATAATAATAATAATAATAATAATAATAATAAGTATTCTGAATATAATTACAGGATTCACATCAGTTTACAAATATGATCAGGTTGGAAGTCGGGATACATTATTTGAGATATGACTCATAAATCTTATTGACTAAACATTTATCACAGAGATCTCAATGCTGTAAAACATAAGATGCAAACAAAATAGATAATCAAAGTTGATATCATTTTAGAATACGGAACCAATTTTGGATTCAACAATGTTATATTTATCAATCGTTTAAACGTAGCTGTCTGTAATAGGTAATATGCAAAAAAGTACAAACACGATTAAAAAAAATTGACGTGATTACGAAGTGATGATCATCTACTATTGATACATGTCACATCTACACCAAGGAAGATACATTTAGCAGTTAATTCACTAGTAGTGAGACAACTTTAAGGAGTCACTTTAAGTTGTCACTCATATACAAGATAGTATAGTCATGATTTATCTACCTAAACAAGGATCTCTGTCTACCAACAATGTTCTACGTAGCTATTTAATATCGATTCTCACACATTGTTTTAATCATAACATATATTAAATGCAGTTCGCGTTAGCTTATTAAAAGTATTTCTTACCCATCCACTTATTATACTCATATCATTTCAATAGGAAAACAACTTCATATCCACAATCAACGACTCCCTACGTTGACTATTGATAATACTAATTATTCACCTCTCAATCTACATTCCGTCAATAAACATTTATAAAAAGACTGTTTAAGCATAAGAGAAATGATATTTGAAGAGTGCAAATAAAGATGACAATAGAGAATGAACATAAAAATCCTAAAACATGTTATACATTTTCTCACATCCCTATGAATCCCCAGATTAAATAATATCCATATAGATGTTTATCTTTGCCATCTTTAGGCCATCGTTCATACCGTATCGGTTTTCATACAAGTTCGTTGATTGAAGACTATTTTTTGTACTTGTATTCCAATTATATGTATACTTGATGCCTTACAACTGGTGAAATTTGAGTTTCTTTTATCTCCTTTCGTCTATCATTTCGTTTTAGTGGTTGTCAAGAAATTTCAAAATCATTTAATCAAGTTGTACAGGAAACGTCTACATGAATTATCAGTCCCATCTTCTCAACACTTCGAAAATAACGTAAATAGTAAATGTAAACCGACTATATCTCCTATTTGTAATTCTTCAGATAGTGTAGCTGAAATACCAAACTGTATTGATAATTCTGAATTAATTCAGTTGAATTCACTAACTACTACCACTATTATTAGTAACAATCTAGAATTATCTAATCATGAGGTGATTAAAGATGATAATGAATTAAACACTAATACAGTAGTAAATCAAGAATCTAATCAGCAAGATTCTGATATCCCAGTGGAACCATTATTGCCCGTCAAAAATGGTGATAACGGTGAAAATAACTCATCTAAAGAATTAGCAACCTGTGATTCTGAACGCTTTTATTTCGCTTTGGACAAATTTTGGAATGAAGAGGAGATAAGAAAACCGATTGTTTTATCTGGTCACATTCCATCATTCCGTTTAGTTGACCTTGATGAAGAAGAGGAGTTAAATAAAAAGGTTGCCGCTGATGCCTTGCGTAAGCATTTGATTGATGATTTAGAGGATGAAGATCCAAGACGTTGTTTATTATGTGGTTATCATGGAGATGATAATATCGAGGGGCGCCTGTTATACACAGGATCAGACACTTGGGTAAGTTATTGTTGAATTATTTAATTGATGACTGTTAATATTGGCTACTACTAATTGGCATAATCATGTCATGTTATTACCTAAGGACTTGTAGAAAGACTACAATAAGATCGCTACTAGTTTTAATTCGAAGCTCCAACTCACTGTTGTACTGATGATATATATTGTTCAGAAATACGCCATGAGTATGCTAAAGTTGACTTAGATTATATACCTATCTATAATCATTATTGCACTACATGTATTCTCTTGTGCTACATAACCAACATTTGGAATACCAACATCGATGCGTAAATTTACTGATTTTTTCCATGGTTTACAAAGAAAGGGGAGTTCAGATACCAGTTACTGTCAATTGGACATACTTCCAAAGATACATGATACAAAGTGCATACCACACAGACGTAGATTACAAGCTGACTAAATGAGCTTATCTTCCAGGTTTTACGTCATCTGTTTGGATGCAAAAATCCAGGTGATTAAATGAAGACAGTGGACAATTATTCATAATATTCGAATACCGATTAGTTGTTAAGGTTTGTATCCACTATCATCTATCAGGTAACATACTGGCGGCGATTGTTCCACAAGTACGAATCATTATCGGTCTATGTATAAAACAATTCAGATGATCGTATTCTTTAAATTGGTCGTCTTTTTTAAATGTTGGTTTATTCTTTGTGGTAATTAGGTGCACATTAATTGTGCCTTATGGTGTAATGATGTTTATGAAGAGGATTCTGGTGAGCTAATTGGTTTGTCAGACGCTATTCGGCGAGGTCGTTCTAGCAAATGTGCTGATTGTGGCAAATATGGTGCAACTCTCTATTGTTCTAATATGAAGACTGAGGTTTGTCCTCTATCTGTATTAGTCTCATCCAATAACTGTGATTTGGACTGTGTTGGTGCCGTGCATTTCTCTTGTGCTCTAAGGCGCTGCCCTCCATTACCACAATGTGTTTTTACTGCTGATCGTTCTTGGTTTTGTTCTCCAGTCTGTCATCATACAGTTATGAACCAACGTCTTGCGGAAGCTTTACATTCATTAAGAAAGTCATCTAAAGGAAAACATAATAGAAAATTCGGTTATCCTGAATCATGGGATCATTCATCTGATGAAGATTTTTCAACTGGATCATTTAATCCGGCTGATTTTGCAGATCATCCTTCATTTGCATCAATGGAAGAAGCTATTGCTGACGATTTAGAGGTATGCATATATATATATATATATATATATATATATATATATATATATATATATATATATATACTTTTACTACTTTCAAGATTCCAATCTACAAGTTGCCTTTAAAATTCCATATTATTTTTCTTTTATTCAGCCAATTGGTTTAGGAGATTTACTTGTTTGTCGTCGAGTGTTTGTCCCATCCGATTGTTTTGCAGCATCAGTGTATCCTCAGTCAATAAATGGAAATCTTATTTCAAATAATCTCCTAATGAGTGATAGTGAACAGTCGGAATTAATGAGAGCTGCAAAAGAAGCTGTATCTACACTTGCAGTTTCACCAAATTCAATCTCTTTTCTTCACAATAACGGAATTTCTGCAAAAAATCTTGTTATTACTATAGGATCTTTACGTGTTGATAGGTTGGGAGATGTTCGTGAAGCTTCAGACTCTTTAGCCATGGCTAAATGGATTCCAGGTTCTTTTGACGAACGTAATACTGTTACACGGAGCAATTACTTGTGCCCTATAAATTACCGGTAAGTTGCTAAAAATTACCGTTGTATGAAGAGTGCTTAGATTTGCTTGTTACATTAGTGTTTGACCGATATTAATAGGTATTATGTCCTTTATAGAATATTCTATCCTCTAACTGTATATTTTATTGAATTCTGTTCACTTTTATTCGACCTAGTGAGGATTATATCGTTACATTGTTTCAAACACATATAGAACATTCTGTAACAAACGGTCAGTCAGTTACAACGTAGGACCAGGCACACGTGCATCGGTCCAAGTTCCTATACCTCATTAGAATAACAAGATGAACACCAAATTCATAGAACTAGTTACTTTAACGGTAGCAAAAAGGGATTGCATATAAGGATATGGTACAGGGAGAAAGACTTAGTTTGTAGAAAGGAAAGTATAAAGTAATCTCATGGTTTAAGGGAAGACAGAGAGTGCATACACCTACACCATTGTGGTCGATTCTGAGCCATGTCAATCAGAATCTCCAACCATTGGTTATGATAGTCACGCGGACCCCAACCAAGTAGTCTGCATCTACCAGTATGGCTCAGACAAGAAGTTAGTGACTTTATGGACTGATGCCATGTTTTGTTTTGGCCGAGTCTAACTTTCTTAGATCCGTATCCAACACTAGTCAGAATTGAGTATCGTGATAGTCGGTGGTTGGACATGCGTAATACATCGTGGCCCAACCACCTCAGTCGATGTAGATTCACAACCTCATCAACTGATTTACCGTCGTTCCCTATTACCCTACGTCTAACATCATCAACTCAACATCAATTGCGCGAGATTCTAAGGTCTTAGTCATGGAGGCCTGTTGGCCGATTTGACATAGAGTACTTACATTGAAGGCTCCAATCAGTAGTTTAGAGCGAGGCTTCAGTATAATTAGAACAGCATTTCGCGCACTAAACTCGTTGGACATAGGTAAGCTTGAAGAGAAAGTCAAAAGAAGAAGTTTAGAGTTGATAGTCAAGGTAAGAGAAATAAGAGTAGAGTTGATTATGAATACAGCGATTTTCAGTACTGTAAGGCTAAAGGCAGTAAACCCAAGATCCTACAGTGAAGTCATACTGATGACTTTAAAGAAATGTGACGTCAGTAAGGTGTTTCCTTCAGACAACCAGCATAACAGTGATACTGCCTTTCCACAAGGAGGGGTGGGTTAGAAAAGGTCGACCCTGAAAATGAACACCTCACGTTGTCCCACGGATATCGATCTCCGACGGTAAGGTTCCAACAAGTACGGAGCTAACACGAAAACTACTCAAAGAAATGTGTGTGACCGGCCTCAACCAGTTGTTACTTGGGCACTGTAGTTACGTTGTCAGGTCACTAAGACTACCTCTAATCTAATTTCCTTTTGAGGTACCTTTAGAAGAACCCTTCCACGATGTGGGCAACCGGGAAATGAAAACCACCCGTATACTTTTAACAACATTCAAGTGTAACAAAAATGTTTAGAAAGGTCTTTTAAACTTGTGTAATGGAGATACTTTTTCTGGGTTTATTTCGTAAATGATTCATTTGCGGATTTTAAATAAGAGTAGACGTATAATATGTAAGAAGAGTAGAGATTTGCTTTGAAATTTACTTTAGTGTTCTAAATCCCAGTATGGGGATTTTTGATACATTGTATTTTTAGATAAAAGAAAAAAGAGTTGCCTTTTACTTGTTATCAAAGTTATCGATTATCAATCAGATACACTGTGCATAGAAAGGTGTTCTCAATTTATAGTTGTCAGCTTATCCAGACATACGTAGGATTCAGTTGTATTGTTTGATGATGTTCCTGGGACACCTATTTTGTATTTAGCACTATATACCATTATTTTATGTTCAGGGTAGAATTTTATTCTTCTACTGAAGTTTGGATTCTAAAGTTTTGCGCATTTTCGAGCAATTAACATGAATTGATCATGCTGACTTACATGAATCTAATACCTCATATTATGATTATTGTCTTAGGGTTATCAAACATGACGTGTTCATCTCTTTATTATTATTATTATTATTATTATTATTATTATTATTATTATTATTATTATTATTATTATTATTATTATTATTATTTTAGTGCAAGGCGCATTTATTGGAGTTGGTCAAAGTTGGATTCTCGTATACCGTATACTCTTCAGGTAAAGCAGAGTCAAACAGTACACACAACTTCCGGTTACATGGAAACTTGTCCTACTTCACGTCCATCCTCCAACACGAGTGTCAATTCTAATAAATCTTTTATTTCATCTAAATTGCCTGTTGTTAATCCTAGTAATTCAACTCCAGTTTATAAAAATCCTCGTCTAGTCAATGTTGATAATCGTATCAGACTGCTAACTCCTCTGAACAACAGATCTGTTAATATTATTAACAGTAGTATTAACAATAATGTTAAAAGTATTGATAATACATTATCTCCAGTTCAAGATGCTTCTAAAACGTTAACAGCTATTCTAACTAATGCCTCATCTATTGTTTCTCCTCAAACTGGGTATGAACCTCCTCTTTTGATGAGTCATCCTATTAGTGGTCATCTAGTTAGTGTCGCATCTTATTCAACTTTACCAGTTAGTAGTTTTCAGCTTATGGCACACACAGTTAACAACCCGATAAATCAAGGACAGATTATTCAATCATCTGCTTTAACCAGTCAAAATTCGTCATTGAAAATACTAAACACTGGTAAGATCTGTTTTATATTTAACTGTTGTTTTTTTTCTCACTACAACATCATATGTAATATTATTTTTAGATTTAATGGAAATGGTTCTGTGTTGGTTGTTATTAGTTACTTTGGTATTTTTTGGGAGAGGGGTCGTGGTCATCACTAAAATACCCATCACTCACCGATATAGATTTATAACTATATAGACATATTGCATATTTGAACTCTGTCCTATTGACTGAAGTCGTTACGACTATAAACTTGAGGTTTTATGTAATAACTTTCGTGTGCTTATTATACTAGTCAGCGATCTATCTACACTTCTAGAAGGTTGAAGTCACAAGTTGGTAATACTCACTGTTAAATATGATGTAAGAGTAGAGTACTTGTCCTATAATATGACGTGCTGTGTCATAAACTGCTATCGGATTACATCTTTTATGTCATTGTTTACAATTAACTTATTGTTCTGCACAAATCATAATTTTAAATTAGTCAATTCAAATGAATCCTCATTCTAATGCCTGTGAATACAAGTATTATATATGTGTGTGTGTGTATGTATGCAGAAGAATTTCTTATGAAATGAATTATTGTGCTAGAATACTCGTTATAAGTTTTTTATTGTCGATAGATCGGAGGGATCAGTAGTTAAGCCGTTTTAATTTCATCCACTTAGTCACCAGTTCAAACCGCGTCCTACTTATTTTGATTTTGAAAACTAGGTAGTATTACTAGCGCTTACACTCGCAACCATATACAATAATTTGTACCTGATGAAAATAAATTGCGTAAATAGAAAAAACAAAATTCACTGAATTTCCCAATGTAGTTTTGATGTGTTTATTATTATTTTTTCATTTAAGTTGGTATATAATTGTTGTAAATTCTATCATTTTATTACAATGCTTCTAGACTTATAAAATCGTTGTTGTATTTCTCAAATGTAGAATAATAACGGCAGTGTGAATACAACTTGTAAATATACTGGATGGTATACTGGTATTATATCATCAATTGAAATTGACATAACTACTTCGATATTTTGGTTTTGTGCATACTATTCATTAAGTGTTATTATGTGAAAGCATTTTTATTGACGTTTATTTGTTTCATAATTTTATGCGTGTATTCTTGACTTTTATTTATTTATTTAAACAATCATTTTATGCTTCGCATCAAGCATTATGTCATTGTAATATCGTAATTTCATTGATTTATTACAGTATCACTTTGTCCTTCATCGAATTCGCAACAGAATCAGCAGATTTTACAACAACGTCATCTGTTAGCAACACCTCAAAAACATTTAGTCCCAGTTCATATTACACCTCAGATACCAATGAACGTCAATGCCACTAATCTAACTACTACGCCCGATAGTATAAATAATATTGTACCTACAGAATTAAATTACAAAATTGGGATTAATCCTTCTATAGGTAAACTTTTTGTTTGTTAAATTTATTTTGAATGTTGTTTCTCATGTATATGAGGATATTAGATTGGATATTCATGAAAATGAATCAGCGGTTGTAAAATAATTTATTGTGTAACATTCTCTAATTCATTTGACTTTTGAATACCTAGTTGCTCGTTAAACTATTAGTTGAAGATCAGGCAATTACTTTGGAATACTCGATTGAGGGTTTCTTCGTCATTTCTTCCACGAGCAAACTTATTGCCAAATTTTACGTTTATCACACTATTCAATAGCTTCATCCACCCTTTGTGGTTAACATAAAAACGTTAGTCTTGTGTGACGGGTGTAACATAACTCAAGCGCTTAAAGCCGACATAAGTAGTTGCTACAGTAGATTCCTGAGTCTCTTATTGTTCTAAGCTCCTGAAACTAATATTCCTAAATGGTCTGAGATTAGAGAGTTTCCTGTCTACTTCAGATGAAACTTATATATCTCCCACTAGGGTTTAAACAGTAGACATGCGTTTTTGCTTTTCACTTATGCAGATACCTTTACTGGGGAAATGTGATAGTTAGCACTTCCATGGATAATTTGCTAAATGATCTGGTTCGAAAAATAGTTCTGATGTCCTAGTTTTGTTCTAAATGAATTACTGTGTCTCTGAGTGTATAGTCACTCTTGTTGTTATTAGTGACACCAACAAGCATCTGTTACAGATCTATTACAGTTTACCATATAGTGTTGTTGAATATCAAATGATTTGTACTCCATTTTTTCTCTTTTTTTTCTTCCGTTTTATGTATAACAGTTTCTGTTAATAGTACACAGTTTAATAAAAGTAATTATACCAATATAATTTCTTCTAATAAACAACAAACACAACAACATTACAAATCTCATTTGATGAATGCATATAATGGAAAAACATTTATTTTACCTAATCAAATTCAGCCAAATATTATATCTGTTAATAGTAATAATAACATTAATAATAATTTGTCTTTATCTCCTGCAATAATCCCTGTAAATCAGTATAATGGTGATATAATTACACATCATATCGGCACCACTGTCAACCCCATCACAGTTAATACAAATAATAATAAATCATCAACATTGCCTTATAATAAATCTATCGGATCTACTGTTATACGTATTCAAAATGTTCATTTAAATCAAAAGAGTGGAATATTGACAACACCGACAAAAGATGCACAATTAGCAACACAATTAGATGGTTTATTTCAAAAGTGAGTTTTATATTTTATTTTTAACAATAAATATAGTATTGTTAGAAATTAAATAACTAGTTAGAATGATTTAGTGTTAAAAATTGATAACAAAGATCAATTTAGAATGAATCTATATTGCCTTGTCACTGATGGGAACATCAATATCTGATACCCTATATAACACAGAAATTTATAGGCGGTAGTAAGTGATAAGGTGATAAACTTATTTGCAATTCTTAACATTTTCTAGCTGAACACCATCAGCTGTTAGAGAAGTAGGATAACTCAACATATGTACCGCACTTCACTTATCTTATTCTGCTTAATTTGAAAAAGAAGTGTGACTAATTAGCATTTGTTATCCATATTTTCACATTTTAAAATTTTATAACTTCACAACAGTGCTCCCTTGAAAACTATGTTATATTGTAGTAATCCATAAGATCGATTCTTCATAGACACCCAACTATGTGGCCTGCGATGCGCCTCATGTTTAAATCTATTCAAATGACTAAAATTAAACTGTTTATTTGGGAGACCCCAAAAAAATCTCAAAGGGGCTCTGAAAACTCTGGGAAACATCTCATCCAACCAGCATCCAATGAAAGTGTTATGTCCTTGATGTCTGGCTTTTCTATCACGCGACTTATCGACCAGTCAGAATACGACTTATACAATTTCGCACTATGCCAAACCAATGACGTTCAACCGCTATGAGCAGTTTAGCGTCCGTATTGGTCTTATGTCCTCCTAGCCCTTCCACTTGAGTCCAGAACACAATACCAGCTTTTGTAATATGAATTGTATCGTTTATTTCAGACATACTCGGTTTATATACTAATCAAACAAACCACATCGTACCATAAAATAGAAAAAAACATTTGTACAATATTTGACAAGTGAAATAAACATTGGCCAATAGGAAATGTCCATTTAAAGTCCAAGGACACCATTAAACTTAACATGATAATTATTGGATAATTGTACAATAAGAATATTTATAGAATATTAATCTATTAACAGCCCTCGGAAGTTACCTGTAAATTAATCTTCACTGGGTTATAACAGGAAGTTCCTCAGAAACATCTAGAAAGTGAAGAGTCACGTGTCACATTTCTGATTGAATAATTACCTATCCTGCTACTGTGTTTAGAAGGGTTCCAAAACTTTCCAGAAGCTCAAGGTCATCTGAAATGCTATAAATACCTTAAATTTTCTGTGCATAAACTAACCTTGGAGTAAAGCGTTCTTTCCATATTTCACCCCTATTCTCTCGTGTTCAAGTTGCCGTGTAGATTTAGTTTGGGGTTATTAGAAAAGCTTAGGAAACCGAATCAAGCGTTAAGTTAAAAGATTTATCAGTTTTAATGACAGTAATCCAATCCTGAGATTTTAGTAGCTTTTACTTCAATTATAAAATAAAATAACTTTCAAAATAGTATTTACCATTTCTTTAAATATTTAAGAGCAATCATTAAGCCAAATGAGTTCTCGAATGGTCTAACGTATTGATGATAATGTTGTCCACTTTTTTATATTTCAGTATTGGCAATGTTACAAGTGTTAGTCAGAATAAACGAGGAGTAGTTTCAACAGTAAGCTATTTTCCCCATTTATTATGTTGTATTATGTTTATCTTTGAAAGTGAATTAGATTTTACACTTTTTCCATGCTTTTCAGTATATTTTTATCCGAGTTATATATAATGCATATTATACCTTAATAAAAAAATTCTTTATGATTACTTTAACTGACTAAAGATAACACATATTCATATGTTACATTAATTGACTTTGGACGTCGACTACGAAGCGAACATGTGTTCTTCTTTAAACATATTCACTGACAGCGGAATGAAGAACTTTACTAATGAAAAATGCAAACCTTTCTAGAAAAATTCTTGCCACCATCGATCAGAAAGGGACTTTTTCCATAGTTGCTGTCACTGAATTTCGAACCGTTTGCGTTAATTTGAATCAGGTGCTATGACACCAGCATTATCAGAGACACTTCTAAATTTTCTACAAATACATAATTATTTCCAGACTTTTACTTATATAATTCTTTGTTATTTTTCATTTCCCATTAGAATTTATTACCCCAACCTGAACATAAACTACTTCCTCAATTTGATGGTACTGGTGACGACGATGATCCTGACTATGGATCTGGTTCTGTTCATAAACGTTTGTATAAAAGCCGTTCATCTTCACTTGTGTCCTCTGGTAGTTCATCATATTCTCACAGAACAGCAGCTTCTGGACGTAGTCAATCACAACTGCCAAATAGTCGCCTTAATAAAAATGACCCATTAACAAAAACAAATAAAAGTGCTCGTGTTACTTCTGATCCCTCGTCTGCCAAACCTTCAGGAAAACGACGTTGGATTGAAGATCGTATCAGACAACAGGAATTGGCTCATTTAGTGTCAAAGGCTAAACAGGCTAATCATGCTCGCCTTTATCAGAATGAAGTTGAGAAACATGTGAGTCTTTTCTTTATTTTAATTAAATAACTAGACTTTAAACACTGAAACAAATAAATAACAGACTTCTAATGATTATCTTGTATTCGTACTTATTGCTAAACTTAACTACAAAGTTTTTTCGCTTTACAGTTTTCTAAAATCTATTTTATTTTAGCCTACATATAATAATACATATTTTTCCAGATCACAGATTCGCATTGTTTTGAAAGAGTAAGGTTCGGTTCACCGGGTAGTTGTTAATCATCCATCATTGGTTATATTGGATTTAGCTTATATAGACTGGTAAATAAGTGTATAATACTTGGTCATTGAGTTTTATATTATTCTTAAAGCTAGATGGATTTTATAAAATTTCACTGTCAATATGCATATTTATAAAATTGTTTAATCCATTCCATAGTATAAAAATAACAGTGATAGGATTAATACATTATCTTTGTTTTCTTCATACAATAGTTATTTTCTTTTCTATTTAATAGGCAAGATCATTTCGTCTTACCTTTTCCATTGATGGTATGGTACGTTCAGCTAATAGCCCAATGGCTGCTTGGCGTGCTGTGATAATGCGTGTTTCAGCTCTGCGTGAAAAACAAGGTTTAAAGCCATTGATTTGTACAGGTATGTTGTCTTTCGTATCATATATATACTTACTTACTTCTTACTTCCGCCTGTTACTCCCAATGGAGCATAGGCCGCTGACCAGCATTCTCCAACCCACTCTGTCCTGGGCCTTCTTTTCTAGTTCCATCCAATTCTTGTTCATTTTTCTCATGTCTATCTCCATTTCTCGGCGTAATGTGTTCTTTGGTCTTCCTCTTTTTGGCTTCCCTTTAGGATTCCAAGTCAAGGCATGCCTCGTGATGCAATTTGACGATTTGCGTAATGTATGTCCTATCCATTTCCATCGTCTTTTCCTAATTTCCTCTTCAGCTGGAAGCTGGTTTGTTCTCTCCCACAAAAGGCTGTTGCTGATGGTATCCGACCAATGGATGTTGAGTATCTTGCGAAGACAGCTATTTACAAATACTTGCACCTTCTTGATGGTGGTTGTTGTAGTTCTCCAAGTTTCAGCTCCATACAGTAGAACTGCCTTGACATTCGTATTGAAGATCCTCACTTTGATATTGGTTGAAAGTTGTTTTGAGTTCCATATGTTCTTCAATTGTAGGAATGCTGTCCTTGCTTTGCCGATCCTCGCCTTTACGTCTGCATCTGAACCTCCTTGTTAATCGATGATGCTTCCCAAGTATGTGAAGGATTCTACATCTTCCAGAGTTTCGCCATCAAGTGTGATTGGATTGCTATTCTCCGTGTTGTATTTGAGGACCTAGGTTTTCCTCTTGTGTATGCTGAGGCCTACTGATGCAGAGACTGCTGCTGCACTGGCTGTCTTCATCTGCATCTGTTCATGTGTACGTGATAGGAGGGCTAGGTCATCTGCAAAGTCCAAATCGTCTAATTGATTCTGAGCTGTCCATTGTATTGCGTGTTTCCTTCAGATGTCGAGGTCTTCATAATCCAGTCGACCACCAGAAGAATGAGGAAGGGAGAGAGTAGACAGCCTTGTCTGACTCCGGTCCTTACTTGGAATGCATCTGTCAGCTGTTCTCCATGCACTACTTTGCACTGTAGTCCGTCGTATGAGTTCCGGATAATATTGACAATCTTCTCAGGAACTCCGTAGTGTCGAAGAAGTTTCCATAATGTCCTCCTATCTACACTGTCGAACACCTTTTCATAATCAATGAAGTTGATGTATAGTGATGAGTTCCACTCAACTGATTGTTCGACGATGATCCGTAGTGTTTCAATTTGGTCTGTGCACGACCGATCCTTACGGAATCCAACTTGTTGATCTCGAAGTTGGGCGTATACTGCGTCTTTCATTCGGTTCAGCAAAACTCTGTTAAAGACTTTCCCTGGTATTGATAGTAGTGTAATGCCTCTGTAGTTTTCACATTTGCTCAGATCTCCTTTCTTTGGAATCTTGACGAGGTGTCCTCCTTTCCAGTCCATCGGCACTTGTCCCTCCTCCCAAATCTTTTTGAATAGAAGATAAAGCATGCTTGTGGTTGTTTCGATATCTGATTTCAGTGCTTCAGCTGGTATGTTGTCGGGTCCTGCTGCTTTCCCGTTCTTGATTTGTCTGACGGCCACTCTAATTTCTTCTGTCGTTGGTGGGTTGACATCTATAGGAAGATCTGTGTGTGCTGCTTCGATGTCCGGTGGATTCACTGGAGCCGGCCTATTCAGGAGTTCCTCGAAGTATTCTACCCATCTGTTACGCTGTTGTTGAATTTCAGTGATTAGCTTGCCTTCCTTGTCTTTGACCGGCCTCTCTGGTTTACTGTATCCCCCTGCTAGTTTCTTCGTTGTATCGTGAAGCTGTTTCATATTTCCTTCTCTAGCAGCTTTTTCTGCCGTCGTTGCTAGTTCTTCCACGTATTTCTTCTTGTCGGCTCTAATGCTCCTCTTCACTTGTTTGTTTGCTTCTATGTATTCAGCTTGTGTTTGGACTTTCTCTGCTCGTGTTCGGATGTTGTTAATTGCTGTCTTCTTGTTCTTCCTTTCTTTGATCTTGTCCAGTGTTTCTGTAGAGATCCATTCCCTGAGTGTGTGGAGCATTTTCCTCTTCATGACCGGAGTATAGCAGCATCTCTCCAGTATTTAGCCTTTGTTGTCCAACTTGGGTCTAATGGGTTTCGGTGATTTCCATTACTGTCAGGTTGTATCTCCTCATTTCCATTGATATTTGACTGCTCTTCCCGGTTTCCCACATTGTTCGAACGTTCCATGTACCTATAAAAATTTTTGCTCTGGTTGTTAGAAGGGGCATCGGCCTCGTGGCTTCCGAAGGAGCTCGGCTTTCACCATGAGGCGTCATAATTCTTCTAAATGAAGACCTAACTCCCAGGGCAGAGTTAAAATGGTTTGGATTATTTTTTCTGGTAAGCGTTTTTTTAGCGAGTTAGTTTTCTACGGGATGGGGACGCTAACCCTATGCCCAACCCTCCTCCTTTACTCGGGCTTGGGACCGGCAGTAACCCTATAAGAGCTACAGGCGGAGTTATATATATATATATATATATATATATATATATATATATATATATATATATATATATATATATATATATATATATATATAATTTTGGTTGGAAAATTTCAGGTTTACAACCTGTACGAGCGCTAAGCCAATACTATTTGAGGTGAATACTTAATCGTAGCTTTTTATAGTAAATTATATTTTCACACGTAATTTTGACTGCAGTAATATAATAGTAGCTAATTGTACTCTATGAAACGATGATTTAGAGACTAGTGCACGTGACTGCCGGTTATATGTTTACCAGCTATCACACAAAAGCATGTTTAATTCCTAATTTGCATAAATCTGTACTAAGTTTTATAGTTGTAACTGTTAGATGATTTCTACTTTTTAAAAATGTTTTTCTGATCTCGTTATTGTGATGTCGAATTTTTGGTATTAATAGTTGTATTCTTTTCTTCTAAATAAAAAAAAGCTATTGATGGATGGACACAATTCGGTTTAAATCATCGTTATACAATATTTCTAATCGAACAAATGCGTGGAGCGCTTCATTGCTATCGTTATAGATTCCGATATCACTGGCAGAAAATCGATCGATTACGTCAAAAGGTATACAACAACATCTCTTTTCATATTTTAATATTTTACTTATTTGTGGTTGTAAATAAATGAATGGTTGAGATTTTGTGTGATGATAATTGAAATAAACAGTAACAGATTAATGACCAAATTAACTTCGAGTAATGTTACTTCATTTCATTGATAATACTTAACTTTCTTTTTATATAGTTTTTTCAAAACTGTAAGTAGTTGTAAAATACTTGATTGTGATTAGTCTATTCAAATGGTTATATAAACATTCACGTTATTTCTATTGATTCAATGTTTGTTTTATTTCACAGTTCACTCCTCCTGTACCCTGTTCTGAAGGCTGTGCTCGCGCTGCCCCATGGACGAAGCCTCGTCGTCCACGCAACCATGCTCATGATCCTCTTGGATTTCTTCATTGTAAAGCTAATCCTCCTCCACGACCTTTAGTTAGCTCAGGTGATGATAATTTACTTCCTTATCAAGACCCATCCTTAGCTAATACAAATGAGCCGGCTAAACTTTTGTCTCCTAATGAACAAGCCACTTGTAGAGAAGCTGCTCGTCAAGCTGCTCTCTTAGTTGCAACACAACTTAAGCTTCCACAACGTCTGCGTAAATCATGTATAGCAAAAGCTGTTGTACGAGCAACTGGCATACCATTACAGTCTACACCACCAAAATCAGTAAATGACAGTGAGTTTGTCAATTCTACTGATCAAGTGTTTGGAATAAATTATTCTGATGATGAAGACAGTTGTTCCGTATCATCGAATCATGAAGAAGAAGAAGAAGGAGAAGAAGAGGACGAAGAAGAAGACGAGAACGATGTAGGAACAGTAAGTTTAGTAATAGCTTATTCCACTAGTGGGTTTTAGGGAACTTGATAACTTTCTATTTATTTTTCTATCCTTTTCTGATGATATAATATTAGTATTTTGTGGGACTGTGAAAAGTTAGGTGGTTGAGGTTATTCAGTAAGGTATCTCGGACCTAAATTTCGTGTTAGTTGGTACTCGTCAGTACAAGAGGTAAGTACAATATTCAAAGAATTGATAGTTTCATAGTTTGAGATGTCATCACAGCTATTTAAATTGAAACTGACTTCTCACAGTACTGTAATTTATTTGACTATACAGTAACCAATCTCATATTTGTCCAATTCTTAGTACTCGTCGATTAAAAAGACCATGCTTCCGACAAATAACAACGATCCAGCGTTAATAGTTTGCACTGTAATAATACATAAAGAAGACGAGACTTTCGGGATAGCCTTGTGTCACGAACAGAAGTCAAAAATTGAAAAGAAATAATTTTTATATAGTAACATACGATAAACTTGGCACAAAAAGTTAGCTAACCAAAAGGATAGATAACGAATCAGATAACAGCATGGGTCATTTCAGAAATATGAATAAGAAAAGTGTTATCGAGCTTAACCTTTGAAAAAAAGAGCTGGCTTGCCATAACAAAAACTAGATAACTTAAACTCTTTTTATCCCATTTCAAAAATACTTTTTTTTAATTCATTCAACTCCATGTAGCTTTAAAAACTACCACTTTTAACAAATGTTGACTAACCGTTCGATCGTTAGTACTTCCCGTATATACAATTAACAATGATAATAATATCATCAATATAGGGTTGTGGAAATAATGGTATAACATTGATCGGTTTATGATCTCAATAATAATATCACTTGACTATATTTATCTGCATTAATCTTCTTCTCTTCAAGGTTGCTACACAATTTAGTCGATTGTTATCAGGACCATTGGCTCGATTTTATCGTGTATCTGTACATCCATCTCGTATACATGGTCGTGGTTTATTCGCTTTACGAGAATTTCGAGAAGACGAAATGGTTATTGAATATACTGGAGAGTTAATACGAAGTATTATTTGTGATGCTCGCGAATTAAGATATAGAGCAACTGGCGTAGATTGTTACATGTTCAGAATAGATCCAGATTGGGTTATCGATGCTACGTATGCTGGAAACGCTGCTCGATTTATCAACCATGCATGTGATGTATGTGTAGTTTTGTATCTATAAATATTTATATTTTAATCGAACGATAATAACTACAGTACTACTAATGGAAATCAGAAATCTCTAAGTTATTTCACAATACTTGTAGAATTTCCTTTTCTTCTTCACCTCTTACAATTTTACCTAGTTAGAGTTTATCTGTTTTGGTAACTATCACATGAAATGTTATTTTTTCTTGTGTAAGGAAAAAATGGTAATTGTAAAACCAACTCACAATCAAGGATTTTTCCGATTAATATATAATAATGGTTGTCTGCGAGCAGTTTCACGATCTCCATCCTTTAATATTACAAGAATTTTTATAGTGAATAATTAAGTCAGTATAATTGTTGTTAAAATTATTTGCTTTACAGCACGTAAAATGCGGGTGTTTTTGGGGTGGTGCTTATCGCGAAGATCCTTTTTTCCAGTTTAATTTATTCACAATTAATGTCACCACTGATTAAAAATATTGTGTGATATACCACTCAGAGTCGATCACAGTGACGAAGATGCATATACTCTCTGTTTCTGCCCAAATCCTAAGTTTAGAAATTGTTTATTCTGCGAATTCAATCTTCTCTCTCAAATCATATTTTCTATTACTACTGTTACTAATTTAACTATTCTGCAATTTATCTTGACCATTTCATCTCAGTTCGCTAGTATGGAACCGGTGTACATATATGACTAGTTCTGTGTTACTTATAATTGACTGAATTCATTCATCGTTTTAAAAGTGTCTGTATAGAATTGTATTTGTTTTCACGAAATAAATGTACATTTGATAAAAAGGTCTTAGTCGGTGTATGCTATCAAATCCATAATGTTTAAATATATTCTAGTCAGCTTTCTAACAATTTTCAATATACTATTCACTTACAACTTAGGCATAACAAATAGGAATTCTTCCTCAGATTACTTTATAAATTATTAAGATTTCCTAATACATTATAATGAAAAGTTGTGTTCACAAAAATGACTTCATTTATGAATCATAATTTTAGTACTCATTATAGGATATCATCTACAAATATGTATATATTTAGTGTTTTTGGTGGTGTTTTGTTCTCTGAGCTGGATGGTTTAGTCGTGGAGCTTTCATCGTTCTTCTGAACGACATCATCAGCACAAACTTCAGATAGAAGTGAAGTGTTCGAATTTCTCCATATGTGTTTCACAGCTTGTTCTGTGCACCTCGATGTTGATTGGTTCTTGTTGACCTTAAATTTATCATTGTTTACTTCTTTGTTTTTGTTGTGTCTCCCATTGGTTTGATTTTTGTTCCTATATTTATGCATGATTCTCCTGATTGGTTGATAAATTGGATTGATTTCAATATGTTTGTTGATTGCTGATTGACCTGAGTGCCAAGCTTCTAAAAATTCTCTGGTGTTTTTGGAGTTTCCTCTGTCTAAGATTTCTACATTTTCCCAATCGAATGAATGTCCGTAGTTATCCACGTGTATTGATATAAGTGAAGAGATATCATGGCGTTTGACTGCTAATTGATGTTCATGTAGGCGTAGGTGGAGGGGGCGTCCGCTTTGTCCGATATAGTGTTTGTCGCAGTTGGTACAATTTATTTTGTAGATGATGTTTGATTTGTTTTCCTTTGTTATTTCATCTTTTGGTTTGCATAGTATTGATTGTAATGATTTTGTTGGTTTGTGTGCCACACCTATCCCGAAGGTTTTCAGCAGTCTCGTTGTGGTATTTCTCTTCATTTTTCCGTGCTGCCAGTGTGTTGCAGTGTGTCCTCGCCCTCTTGAACAATGTGTGTACGCAGTTGATTTTGTGAGCTCTTGGGTTGTTGCTGTTGTAATTGAGGATTTGATCTGTATGGGTCGGTTTCCTATATACTTGAGTTTCCAGTTTTCCTGTATCGGTTCTAGTGATCAATATATCCAAGAATGCTATTTGGTTGTTTGACTCCTGTTCCATTGTAAACTTGATGTCGTTGAAAACGTTGTTGATCAGTTTGTATGTGTTTTCCAGTTCATCCTTTTTTACGATGACAAAGGTGTCGTCTACGTAGCGAATCCAAATTTTTGGCTTGATCACTGGTAATATCGTGGCTTCTAGTCTTTGCATCACTGCTTCTGCGATCAGTCCTGATATTGGTGTCCCTTTTGTTTGTTCGTAGATTTTGTTGTTGAATTGAAAATATGTTGTTAGGCATAAATCGATGAGTTCCAGTATACTTTTAATTTGAAGCGTCGTGTATTTGGTGAGATTTGTGTCGTTGTTGAGTAGCAGGGATATAGTTTCTCTTGCTAGCTGTGGTTCAATTGAGGTGAACAGTGCTGTTACGTCGAAGGATATCATGAGTTCGTCGTTGTTGATTTGAATATCCTTAATTTGGTCCAGGAATTGTGTTGGGGATTTGATGGAATGTTTGGCTGAATCTACTAGATGTCTCAGTATTCGTGAAATTTCTTTTGACAAATTGTATGTTGGCGTTCCGGGGAGTGCTACTATTGGACGTAATGGGATGTTTGGTTTGTGTATTTTGGGTCTACCGTAGAAACGAGGGAGTACTGGTCCACTGGATTTCATTCTCCATTGGTCTTGTTTTGTTATTTCTCCTGCTTTGACTAGCTTGTTTAAAGTCTTTGAGATTTGATTGTCTAATTTTTTGACGGGATTTGTGTCCATCAGTTTGTATGTGCTCTTATCTTCGAGTAGTTCTTCGGCTTTGTTGATGTATTCTTCTTTGTCCATGATTACTGTGGTGCGTCCCTTGTCCGCTGGTATTATGATAATATCTTTTCTGTTTCTGAGTTCTTTCAATGCCTTTTGTTCTTGTGGAGTCAGTTGGTTGTTTTCTTTCACCTGTTGAGTTATCGGTACTATAGTTTGCCTTATTTCCTGTTGTGTTTCTTCACTGATTCCGGAAGTTTTGAGCGATGACTCTAGTGCTGCGAAGAACTGTAGCTTTGAGGCGTCGCTTGTATCGTAGTGTAATCCTTTTTGGAGCAGGTGTTCTTCCGTATTTGTTAGTGGTTGTTTTGACAGATTGATCACGCAGTTGCTTGTGTTTTCTTCCATGGGTGGTTTTGAGATCTTGATTAGTTTTTTCTTTAAGGTGTTTCTTCTTTGTTCTCTATGTCGTTTGCATGATATCTCGATGGCTGTTGTCACGATTTCCAAATGTTCTGATGTGAGCATCCTTTGCAGCTTTATCTTTATATTTATCTTTATCTTTATATTTAGTGTCCCATTATCTGACTCCAGTTTGATCATATGTCAAATACGATAATGGATATTTGAATACGCATATTTCGTACAATCGTTGATCGGAAAGCGAAGCAAAACAAAATGGCGTGCGGTGAAGGCGAGTAAGCCGAATAGATCTAGGGTCACAACAATGATGAGCCCGCCAATGATGAACCTAACTCATCAAACTACGTCAATGAATAACCGTCCACACTCCATACTTTCGACGAACGCACTCAACGTAGCTTACTCAATCGATAATATCATCATACCACTGCTCAAGTGGTAAGTCAGACTTCGAAATAAACGTAACCTGCAAAGCTACACAAACGATGAACATTTCGAACTTCACTCATTCGGTAAACGAACTCTATGTGCTTGGCTTAATTGATAGCAATTAGAAACGATCCAAATGGAGTCAGATAATGGGCCACTAAATATCGACTCAAGTTGTGATTTATTTTTATTTTCCTGAATCTCTCAACACAAATTCTGAACAAGAATAATGAAGTGCATAATAACGATATTAAATACACATAGACAAGACAAACTATTAAACAATCCCCATGGAGTCGAGATAGTATTTACTATTGATTCGAATGATGATTTTGTTATGGTATTTTTTATTATTGAATTGTGCCTTTTCCGTCTTTTTTCTATCTCAGTGCTCTTCATCTTTCTTTTTACTTAGCCTAATTGTTATGCTAAAGTTGTGTCGATCGATGATAAAAAGCATATTGTTATATTGGCCCAACGAAAGTAAGTAATACGCATGTATACATTATTATTTAGAAAATTTATTTTTCTTATAATTAATTTATATGGAGATGTTTTAGAGATAAAACTTAGAGGTCGAGAAGTTTTCTGTTATAACAACTGGAGAGTGTGTATGGGCAGCTGATTTGATGATCTATTGTCTCGGCGTAGATCACAGCTTCAAATTAGAACGTTGGAAGATGCATTACGAAGCTAGTCATTGCTGGGCATCTGATTATTATGACTCCAGTAAATTCCCATTCCAAGCTTGAACTTCTGCCTCTAGTTAGCGGGGCTGGGACGCATCAAATAACTAGCTTACTGGTCTTGGTCACTGAGTCTTTGTTCTTGTTCTCAAATCAAATGAACTTGTGTTAGCTTCAATCTAACATTTGTTTGTTTGTTGTTAGTGTATTTTGGTCGATAAATTAAAAGTTTCTCTTTATGACATTTTAATTGTTTTGTTGTTAATACATATTTTCCTTCATATACTACTTATTTACAGAATTTATCCTGGTGAAGAATTGACATATGATTATCGTTTTCCTAAAGAATCTGATAAATTACCGTGCAATTGTGGCAGTTATTCTTGTAGAAAATATTTAAATTAATCTATTCTATATATCTCTCTATATGAAAAGAAGATACTTTTAATTTCTGTTCTATATGTATACATGTATGTATTTGTGTATTCTACTTTTTCAATGATACAGTCAGTCAGTCAGTCACATTCTCCTCTTTTATTGTGTTTCTCTTCTTTTTATTTATTATTTATTTAATGATCAACCGGTTGTTTATTCATCCATCTATATATTCTATGCATATACACATGAATTACTTGTTAGATTTTTATAAAATTATTTATATAATAAGAGAGAAAAAAATTAAAAAAAATAATAAACAACTCAGTTCATTGAAATTTATTGTCTTTTTTATGTACAAAAAATTATAAAAATACAAATCATTCTCTCTCTTTTTTGTTTCCCTCTAGGTTTTTTTGTCTTCTCTTTTTTTTGAAAAAAAAAATAATTTCCTGCATTTCTTCATTAAAGAAAAAAAATAGAAAAGAAGAATATTATTGTTTTTATCATTAATTAGTATTATTGTGGTTATTTTTATGCATCGAAACAATCGTATGTATATTTCATCGATATTATAATATATATATATATATATATATATATATATATATATATATATATATATATGTATATATAACTGTACTGATCTGAATTAAGTCTCTTTCTTATTATTGAATATGAATATAAATTATATAAATATATGTATATGTTTAGAAAAGAAGTGACTTTTTGAGGGAAAAAAGTTTTTTTTTTCTATCTTACTGTGAACAAGTAGTAATATTGAGGGGGGGGGGAGTCAACTTTAAGATTTGGTTTTATAGGAAGTAACTATTATGTGATTTCAATTTACATATATGTATTGTAATGATAGATTATGCTGCTTTTAGTATTGGATAAATATCTGTTTACAAACTGAGAGATGTACATTTGGTGTGATTGTATTGTGAATAGAATTGGTTGATCAAGAATCATAAATGTTATGATTTATCCGTTGAAAAGTAATTTCAAGGTGTTGAATAAATTAAGTAGGATAACATATAAATTAATTGGGTTGTTTTATCAAATACAATTTACTAGCTTCACTCACACTTTACTAATTGTATTTCTTCTGGCGGAATCAGATATAGACTGATTAAAATACTATATACATAAAAATACAAAAGCTCCAGAACACTTTATCTGACATACATACAAAAGGTTCTTAAAGTAAAATTAACGAGACATAACTGAATACATGTGTATACAGACTGGTAATGTACAGAGGATTTCGTTGTAGTTATTATACAATATGTTTATGCAATGTATGTGAAAATAGAGGGGATATTGTTTAAATAATATAAGTCCGTACTGCACTAAGCATAGCATTGAACAAAGGGATTATTGCTTAAATGATACCTCCGTAAACGATTACACATATAGTAGGCTGATATCACTTCCAAGGACTAGGACGCCTTGGTATACAATATCACATTTTTTCACCGGAAACGTTAGTACCAAACAAAATTCAATAAGGAAACAGTTCAACGTCATCAAATAGAAATATACATGTTATTATTAAGCCCCTGATATTATGTTGATTTAATAGACAGGAATATGTGTTAATTCCTGACCACTTCCTATGGGTTCCTGTCATCTAGATCAGAACGTCTATTAGTACAGTGACTGTTGACAACTGAGGAAATATTTTTGCAACTAAATTTGCTTTAATCAATTTTTTTATTATTTTCGAATTTCTTTCCCCATTACCATATATAATGTAACTATCATGATTTTTATCCCTCGTTGAATTATTATCTCGGAACTTGCATTAAATAAACAAATTTTATATATTCACTTGGTGTTGTTTTACTCGTATCTTCCGATTGTTATTTAGGACTGCAATTGATCAGTCTCATGTTGGCATATGTGCATCCTGTGTGGATTGCCTCGATATAGCCTTAAGTCACAAGCTTCTTAAGCAAAGATGGGTAGTGGCTAGTGACGAAACGCGCGTCCTGTATTCCACTGCTAACCACTCTCCATCTTTGCATGCATATATATATATATACTTTTTTTGAAAAAGATTTATACATAAATAATTCATAAGGCTTAGGAATCATTAAGTAGTTCTGAAAACAGTTGCATTCTGTGTAGAAAAATATAGTGAAATAAGATGCTCTACAGAACAGGTAATATTGTATACACTTACTCATACACAACAAAATAAATCCCACAGAATGATTGCTTTTAATTAAAGTTTATTAGTAGTTGAGTGATTATCCGTTATTGCCTGATAAATTAATCGTTTTAGTATAGATGGCCAATCTTTTAAAAGCTGATTTTGTAGAGATAACCTGTCTACGTTTGATTGTATTCCATTTTTTAAATTTTCTACCTAAAATATCAAGTAAAATAATACTAGTTAGTAGTATATAATTTGTCGTATTTTCAACAGAGACTACTGTGGTGCGTGCTACTTATATCTATGTAAGCAGTATATGACGCGAGTTAAAACGCAATGTCTGGCAGCAGAAGATGGGAAAAGATCAAGAAAGGAAGAGCGATTGGTGTTTGCAACAAGAACAGTCCAGGTTGATATGATGCATCGATATTTTGCAAATTAACAATTTACTATATGGTTTTTCTATTTTACTAAGTAACTCTGTAATTTTGTGCTAAATACAATTCGGTTGTCCTCACCCGTGTTCTCCTTCACTACACTACTAGTTATAAAACTACATGGTTATTACGATTATTCATCCTCTTCAGAGACTTGTAGCTATACCAATAAATTAAAAAAGTTGGCATAATTGGATTTTAGAACATATGGATATGTTACTGACTGAATTTCTTAATTTAAAATAGTATTTAGTCCTGAGATGGTGAAAATTTGTAGCTCAGATAGAAGTCTGAAGTTGTTGTTGATGGTGTCGTTCAGAAGAATGATGAAAGCTCCACGACCAAATCATCCAGCTCAGAGAACAAAACTCCATCAACATAGTATTTAATTCATTTTAGTATAAAACGGTGAAGTAGTATTCGAGTTTACGAATGTTATGATCTGATTGAGTTCAATAATCTGTAGCGAAAATACAGATGAACTTGTAAATCTATCAAATCTAAACGTTGAACTAATCAATTATAACGCATAGAAGGAATAACTAAAATTACTACACTTAATGCGTTAATTATTTAGTCATTAAGTTTTTATTTTGAAATTAATACTCTAAATAAAAACAGGAAAAAAAGAATCAATATTTTGATGACATTTCATTTTGTTCAAATGATCAAGATTTCGAATATGAAATATTTCCAGCTTAATTATTCAACCGGGAGTTCACTAAATACAAATAATCCCAAAACGTTACAAAATCTTATAGAACGTCCAAACTCGATAGATTTCCCTATAGAACAATGTTTTTCACTTAGCGAAATAGTTATTCTAAATTTCTTACGAATTAGAGTTTGTCTACTTAAGTCAGTCATTCAGTTACAACGTAGGACCAGGCACATATATGCATCGGTCCAAGTTGCCACACCTCATTAGCACAGCAAGATGAACAACAAATTCAAAGATGCAATTAACTCAATAGTGTAATATATAAAGGAAAGGTTGCATATAAGGATATTGTACAGGAAGAAAGTTAGTTTGTAGAAAGAAAGATATGAAGCGATTTTAACCTCTTAGTTTAAGAGAAGACAGAGAGTGTATATACCTACACAATTGTGGTCGATTCTGAGCCATGTCACCAAGAGTCTCCAACCATTGGTTACGATAGTCGCGTGGACCCCAACCAAGTAATCTGCATCTAAAAATATGGCTCAGACAAGAAGTTAATAACTTTATGGACTGATGCCATGTTTTGGTTTGGCTCCCCCTAATTTTCCTAAATCCGTATCCAACACTATTCAACATTGTGCGTCGTGGTACGTAACATTATACAAAACAATGTTCCATCTTAAGTACGAACATATAATAATCATCGCCATCTTTTTAGAAGAGTAGTAATTTGGAAACTTAAACAAAAACTGTTTTAACTATTCGCAGTCTATCAAAGAATGTAATAAATTGAAAATATTAATATTATTTTATTTACTTGTTTTAATGCTGGAGTCATATTGTAGATATTATTTTGATTTTCTTTGAATCCATTTATTGAACTTTCATTTAATTTGAATTTACCGGAAGATGAACGTTTTATTGAATCCACTGAATTGTCTCTAGTTATCCCATTATCATTATTTGGTTCGTTTTTTGTAAGTGATAGATTTTGTTGTTCAACAAAACTACTACAGTTAACAAGCGTAGAAATAGTATGCACTGATGTTGTTGCCGTTGTTGTATCCATATTGTTATTGTTATTATTGATATTATTATTGTTATAAGAATTTAGTATTGTTTTTGGTAATGTTGTTGATGATATTGAATTGACCATTCTTAAACTAGAATCATCTTTATTTACATCACTCATTGAAATTTTATTATTCATCATATTACTTATATGGTTGATAGTTTCTAATCTATTATAAAAAGATTGATTTGATGTTGTACAGTAGGAGTTACGCATTTTTATTCTCTCATAAAATAAATTGAATAGATTTTTCGATTCATTTACTTCATTCGGTTTAATCTATTTTAAATTATAGGTAATACTATATAATCTCACATTTGAGGTTCAAAATATGTAAAATATTTTAAACTACTTACCAGTTATCAGTAGCACGCTTGGATTATATCAAAAAATAAAATAACTTAGGATTGCTCAATCAGTAGAGATCTGAAATAAAATTCTTTTGTGGTTTACTTTTTGAAGTAAAAATGTACGCAGAACTAATTACAGTGTATTTCTAGGATGCCAAGCTGTCAGTATGGTCATTCATAAGCTGGTAAGAAGCCTTGAAATATAATAAATTCATGCTATTTTGAAAATTTTGTTCTTTACTATTTATGTATAAACAGTTTTCTACATGCCATTAAACTCAATTTATTGAGAAATTATTCCAGAACTGTGTATACTAACTTTAATTTCTAGATTTTTGCTTCAGATCTG